TATATATATACTGATCGGTTAAAAATTAATAAATCAACGAATTACTGCCGAAAGGATTCGAAAATTCGTTGAATCTGGAGCAGAAGATCGTTCTTCTCTCGATCCTTCGAAGAAAGCCGAGTGAACGATAATGGCTCGGTTCCAAGTTCTTCCAAAACATGGCCACGACACCTTGCCACGGTGTAAGCTCATCCTACGTTGCTCAATAACGTTTCAAGACTTCTAATAGATAACCCAGTGAACCGTTTGCCCGGTTGAGCTCGTTCTTTAATCCGCGCGCGACGTTTTAACATTCGGGTCGCTTGCTCGATCAAGCAACGCAGGTGGCTCAAAGCTTACGGTAAATTTCTGTACGCCATTTTCAATAGGTCATTGATACGATGGTTATTGTACAAACTAATTTACCGGAATGTTCATCCTAGAACCGCTACTCGATAAGTTAACTAAAATATAAAAACCCATGAAGGAAGAAGAATCTCGAAGAAAATATTACATCTGCTCTTAATTATTTTTAGATTACCATTAAAGAAAGTACGTTTGAAAACAACGAATCACTCGTGCGATGTGGAACGTGCGACTGGTGTACCGTGTAAATTTTTCAACCTTAATGACATTAATAGAACTAATTTATAAGATACGTGACCACCAGAGAAATTTGATCTATATTTGTTTGTTGAAGTAGATAAATGTCTAAGTTTTAATAGAGATAACGGTTGACGGTGAAATTGTGTTACAGGTGTGAATCCGAATGTAATTGGAATTTACAGACGGCAGAAATTGAGATATGTACATACACTAGTGGAATTAATTAATGGACAGTTAAATTTTTATTTCAATTTCGCATTTATTCAAATTATTTAATATATAATCATTTATATTTTATATTCTAATCATTGTTTTCTAATTTTAGGGCGTCGCTTATATAAAAAAATCAGTAAAAAGACCATTTACAGGCATACTTTTAATATACAACAAAAACTACAATTTCAATATATCAAAGGAGGTAGAAAAAAAAATTAATATTTCTGTGATTGGCGAAAACAAAAATAACAACACAGTTTAGATCTTTTTAATTAAAATTTTAAAAATATTAAGTATTAAATATTAAATATTGCAGTATCAATTTAGCATAGCAAAATATACATTTACTGCACAAATATGAAATAAAAGAATATTTTTATGCAAAGTGTCCAGAACGAATTCCACTAGTGCACTTTCGCACCGTCATGTCAGCAGAGGAATCGTTTCTCACAGCGCGCACACGATCAGCTGTTCCGGCCATTATCACAAATTGTCCCTGCAAACGAGCATCATCCGACGACCACCGCGTTATACCTACGCTCATGCTTTCCTCTTCTCCTACATTTCTTCTTCCAAGAGGCTCTTAGCCTTTTTAAGAAACGACGGAACACGCCGTTCTTAACGAATCATTAAAGCGTCTCATTTCCATCATTCCGAAGTGAAAAGTCAAAATCATTTCCCCGATGAAAATTAGAATTTTCATTAGAATTCATGCTTACTCTATGCATCGTTATTTTCCCTGGAGAGGTTTAATCTGATCGCGAGTGTACTCGCAGTTTATCAGCTCTTACGTTAATTATATCCTACCCGGAAGCGGAATTCTGCTTAGAATAAATAACTCCGATAATTATTTTTATCCTCGAAGAAAAATATATAGGGTGTCTCGTAACTTCTGTAACACGTGGTGAATGAGGGGTTGCTGGGATGATTTTTAACAACTTTTTCCTTTATCAAAATATTGGTTGAAGCTTTGTTTTTGAATTATTCACGAAAAACACTGGCGCGCTCGATCGTGGTCGTGAACAAACGCATAGGCACAGCGTGGGTGTCGAGGGAATCGTGCGACTAATTTCACATTGTTCTTAATTTAAGACGATGTAACATTTGTCGCGCGCTTCCTTCGATACCCACGGTGTTTCAATCCGTTTGTTGCGCGATTGACAAGCCATCACTTTCGTATTTGAGCGCGCACACGTTGGCCAGTGTTTTTCGTGAATAATTCAAAAACGAAGCTTCGGCCAACATTTTGGTAAAGGAAAACGTTGTTCAGAATCGTCTCAGCAACTCCTCATTTCCGGAGGAGTTACGGGACACCCTGTAGAAGCATCCGATATCACAGCGGGCGTGCTTTGATCTTGGTAAGGACGTCTATCGGGGAAAGTTCCCCCTGTTTCCATTTTCCCGGTGCAATGAGCATCTCTCGCAAAGGCATCTGCAGGAGGAGCGACTAGTTATCAGGTCGTAAGTTCAAAGAACCGTGTGGAAGAGCATCGGGTGTATCGAGTGGTGTTCGTCTACCGTGATATTACGATCGCTCGCGAAATATGTACTTCGCTCTGCATAACAAGTCATTGTACTTAAGTGAAATTAGCATTCGCTAGATAAAATTGCGCGCATCGAGCTCATTATCACGCGCGGTGCAAACTGTGACGGAAAGATTCGAACGAGACGAAAGACTTTCCTTTTCGTTCGAAAGCGTTGAACTCTATGAATTATTTTATTAATTTGAGTTCTTTTTTTTTTAAGAATCTAAATCGAGATTCGAACGAGACGAAAGACTTCTTTTCGTTCGAAAGCGTTGAATTCTACGAATTATTTTATTAATTTACATTTTTTTTTTAAATAAATTCTAAATCGAAATTCGAAAGAAGACGGAAGACTCCTTTTCGTTCAAAAGCGTTGAACTCTACGAATTATTAGCCGAATTATTAACGAATTGTTATTATTGAGAAGGCGGCTAAAGCATTTAAACTTTTTGCCACTTTTGTACAGGCCAAACGATTTGTTTAGTGGGTCAAAATCTCAACGAATGGCCGAAAAATATTTATTTCTTTTTTTGCCACATCAAAATAAGTTGATGAAGAGTTTTAGTTTAGTTCCAAGGGTTGGCTTTAGTTTTCAGTTTTTTATTTTTGAAGAATCTAAATCGAGACCGAAAGGCTATTAAATATTGATATTATTTTTAACCGACTTGGAAAAAGAAGAAGGTTATTCAATTCGATCAGTATATATCTTTCTTTTTCTTAGTTTTCATTTCGAAAAAAAAAAAATGTTACAACGAGTAAACGACTCCCTATGGCCTCGATAGTGGAGCGTTAGAAATTGCCCAGAGCAGAGTCGGTTAATTCGCCTCCCATGAATTATATGACTCGGATCGCGGAAGTCGTTTCTAAATTGATTCTTAAATCAATAGCGGAGCGTGACCGAATCTCTCTCTTCCTCCGCGCGTCTGCGATACGGTGATACGGTGCATCGCCACGGTTCTCGGATTCTTTGCATTTATCTGCAATCGTAAGACGAGCACCGATGATCCGCGTGAAACGTTCGAATGTAAATACGTTACTTTAAATATCCCTTTCGTACATCGAAACGATTAAATCGACCTCGAGATTCGTTGCATCGTCTTAAAATTAAAGCGGTTGCATTGTCGTGGAATTAAATGCACGTAGAGACTAGGTGGCCGGATCATCCTCGAGCCATTTGAAATGTCAGGAGGTGCTGGCCGACATGCTTTCTGCATGCCTTTCGCGATTCCACTCTATCATGTACGTGGGATGTTGAGAAAAATACGAGGAATTACATCCCCCACGCTTTATTCCTCTGCATTTATAGAATAGAATTCCGTCGAGGGGGTGTGCAGAATTTCTTAATAGACTGATGTCATTCGAGAAACTACAATTTTATCACTCGTCGCTATTCTTCGATTCTTCCTTATTATTATTTTTCTGATCTGGAGCCGCCGCTTTACGAAGCTATTTCACCGGCTCGTTTCTAAGCGCTCGCCGATAGGGTTGCCCTATCTGAGATAATGGAAAATCAATAGGAGCAATTGGTTTGCAGTTTCGCAAGACGTATGGAAGCAATGTCACGCGTGTCGATGGAATAACACGGTAACTGTATTTCATTTTTAAGATCACGGAATCTTCGAAACGCCTCCGCTTCCGGTGTTGACACGTGCGTCGGGTGATGCTCCGTTCGATGACATTTAATTTTCCTGGATCGAATTCTTGGATTTAGAAACGATTCGAGCGTTTCGATACGGTATTCTTAGCTCCAGAAGAAAGCGATGCTGTTGTTCTCTGTAAACGGCGACGTTTTACTCGTCCTCCGTTGTGCTTCTGCCAAGAGGCAAAGATATTCGACGGAAATAAAACGTGGTTGGAAAATTCCAGGGTAAATCTGGTGCCGCGTTCGAGGCAGAAAAAGCAGCCGTCACGCGACGCAACCAGAAGAAACCGCAAACAGGCTGCTGATGGCAGTAAATATTTATCGATTGGTGCGATACCATTTAAACGAATAGGAAATATTTTAAATAAAAATTCGTACATGCAAGTAGATACCATCGATTGTTAACCCTTTAGCTGGCTCGCGAATTTTTCAACTTACACCAGTGGGCCACATTAAAAATTTTATAACGGCAAAGAACTGCGAAATATATTAAAATGACGGGTCAATCTTGCTAGTGGTGGCCTCGTGACGCAATTTAACTAAATTCATGGTGGTCATCGGTGACCACTATGGCCCAAATGAAAAGACAAGCGCCGGTCCCATGGGACCACCGTGGCAGAGAAAGGGTTAACGAAACGCTAGATCTTAGCAGATGAAATGGTAAATTTTGGAAACGCGAAAAGTCCGACACGATTTCATGACAGAAAATTATTGCAAAATAATACTTGAGGTATATAGAATTTGTAGCTTAATTCTCGATGAAAATGTCTGCACAAACCCTTTATTAATATTCTAAGTATAAGATGGCCGGTCGCCAGTCGCAGCTAACAATGACCCATTTTGAAACGTACGAAGTCTGACACGATTTCATGACAGAAAAGTATTACAAAATAACACTTATGATACATCAATTTAAACTTTAAAGTTTGAGAAATCAGATAAGCATACACTTGGCTAACTCTATTATACTTCCAAGTTATTAAATTAAGAAAAAAATGAATTTTTTAATAATCAAAATATTTCTGTTACAGGTGATGACAGACTGACAGTATCAGAATCAAATCAAATAGCAAGCAGAGATTCATAAAAAAAAAAAATATGGATCACCAACAACCAGGTCGAAAGCAGACGATGAATCTGTCGGAGATGGCGATAGCCAACGACATGTTCGATCAATTTTGCAATGCGACCACTTTAAAGTCGATACTAGGACACTTCAGGGACCTCTGCGAGATACTGAAAATCAGGCCAAACACGATCGCTCAATTCTACCCGAAATTGAAAGCGAAGCTTCGTACCTGGAAGGCTCAAGCTCTATGGAAGAAATTCGATCAAAGAGCCAATCACAAGTGCTACAACCGTGGAAAGGCATGCCCCAATACAAGGGTAAATAATTTATTTTCTAATTAAAAAAAAAAAAAAGGAAGAATTATAAGAACGATAGGTATGCCAGATTTATTAGGAGCAAAGATATTAATTGAAAGGAAGTGGTTATGATTATGAATTGATAAACAACGTTGGGTCACGAGTAACCTGATTAACGCACAATGCACGTTAAATATAAAGGAAGTTCATCGACCCATCGCGCAAAGTCATTGTCGTCAACTTGACAAAGACACGATCGAGTGATCTGAATACGCTTATATCTAGTTACGTCATCATTTTCCACGATAGACACTCAATCTACGGACCTTGAACTTGAAAGAGATCGCTTTATACGTTCATAATTTTATTATACAATAGTTCGTTAAACTCGAAGAAGGTTCCTTTTATTTTCAAAAGCAGGTCGATAATTTCTTATCGTTGATCGTGATTTTAATCGACAAAGTATCGTTTAGGTATTGATCATCGGGGGAGGACCTTGCGGGCTTCGTTCGGCGATAGAAGCGCAATTGTTAGGAGCGAAAGTCGTGGTGGTTGAAAAACGAGATCGAATGTCCAGGAACAACGTTCTTCATCTTTGGCCGTTCGTTATTCAAGACCTCCGTGGATTGGGAGCGAAGAAATTCTTCGGAAAGTTTTGCGCTGGCTCCATCGATCACATCAGCATCCGGCAACTTCAGTGCATCTTGCTAAAAGTCGCTTTGATCCTTGGCGTTGAGTTCCATGAAAGTGTAAGCTTCGATTCTTTGATACCACCGCCGGAGAACCAGGAAGAAGGCAGTGAGTAGTATTAATATAATGATATAGAGTCTTGTAAATACGTGGTACACGGAGCGAGTGATCAGATTTTTCTTAAAATCTCCGCAATGGCGAAAGATTTTTAAATTCTTCGAACGGAATATTATAGCATTATGTTGATATTTTAATAGTACGAAAGCAAAAAGAATTCGACGAATGAATAATTTTGATACGAATCATTTCAGAAATTGGCTGGAGAGCAAAAACGACACCGTCCGATCATCCAGTCTCTCAGTACGAATTCGACGTATTAATCGGTGCTGACGGTAAAAGGAACACCCTGGAAGGTTTCAAGCGCAAGGAATTTCGAGGTAAACTGGCTATCGCTATAACGGCGAATTTCATAAACAAGCGAACCGAGGCAGAGGCACGGGTGGAAGAGATCAGCGGAGTGGCCTTTATCTTCAATCAGAAGTTCTTCAAAGAATTGTACCTGGAGACTGGTATCGATCTGGAAAACATTGTGTACTACAAGGATGATACTCATTATTTTGTCATGACTGCCAAGAAACACAGTCTCATAGATAAAGGAGTGATTCTGCAGGTACATAATTCCAAAATCAACGTTCGAATTGATTAATTCTGTGAAATAAGATTAATGACTTCCTAAACTTGTTTTTTTTTCTTTTCTTTTTTTTTTTAAATTTGACTGAAATATAAAGACACATAAAAATATTGTACAGTGATTATATATCACAAATTCGAAAATGTATTGCTTATATTTAATTGAGAGAAAGTAGAGTTGATCAATTAAGCTCGTGAAAGGCTAGATTGTAAATGATAATAATGTAATTACATGAATTTTTAATGTGAACCCAGGATCACGCAGACACGGCAAAATTGCTCGCAAAAGAGAATGTAGATCGCGAGGCATTGATGCATTATGCTCGAGAGGCGGCTGAATTCTCCACCGAATACCAAATGATGGATATGGAATTCGCAGTGAACCATTATGGCCAACCGGACGTAGCTATGTTCGATTTCACGTCAATGTACGCGGCGGAGAATGCTAGCCGAGTTTTGGAACGACGGGGTCACAGATTACTTATGATCCTGGTTGGCGACAGCTTGCTCGAGGTACCATTCGACGTCTTTGTTGAAAACGTGCCCCCGTTAATTTCGTTATTAATTGCATTAATTATTAATGTAATAACTCTTGTTACCAAAGTGATAGAGAACAAAGTAAAAATCATTTTCAGCCGTTTTGGCCAACAGGATCTGGTTGCGCGAGGGGATTCTTAAGCTCTTTGGATGCTTGTTGGGCGATTAAAGGATGGGGCGCCTCAGTATCACCATTGGAAGTGATTGCAGAACGAGAATCCATTTATAGGCTACTCGGGCAAACCACTCCTGAGAATCTGAATAGAGATTACGCAGCATACACTTTAGATCCTCATACGAGGTATCAGAAATGACTTTAATTTTCTTACAGCTTCATTACAGTATAAAATACATTTGGTTATTAACTAGCAAAGCTACCCATTCTAAGAATGGTATTTGTTTTGTTTAGAAATTTAGTTTTTATGTTAAGAATTTATCACATGTGTTCATTCTAAATAATTACAAATAATTTTTTTATATCGTCTCTACTTCATCTATCATTTATATCTAAAAAAGAGTAAAATATATATACGGTTGAATAAGAAATCCTCTATAAAACTCAATTATTTGATTATTTTTCATTTTTAAGCTCTAACTCAACACTTGTATTTTTCTCTCTATTTTTTTTTCTTTTTTTAAAGAGGGGTTTAAAAATAATTAAAATTCTTTTATATATATGATTTTAAGGTATCCTAATTTAAACGTATCTTCCGTGACGCCGATACAAGTTCGAAGTCTCCTAGACACAGATGACCCGGACAGCATTAAACAGCCTCCCGTGCAATCCGACATCGACATACCTAAAAAACGACGTCGTCGTGGTGAATGTCAATGCTCTCTTCTAATTATTCTATCCCGTTCGATGCATATTTATATATTTTAATATAACGAATACAGATCTCCGTGGAGATACACAAGTGCATCCGGACACGCTGCTTCGTTGGTTGCAAAAACAAGTCGCGCTTTACGACTCGATTCAAATCGAAGACATGGGTGCCTCCTTTAAGAGCGGTCTGGCTATTTGTGCGATCATTCACAGATACTGTCCAGATTTAATAGATTTTCACAGTTTAAACCCAAACGATCCTATAACGAACAACCAGCTGGCCTTTGATATTTTAGAGAAAGAACTGGGCATACCTCCGGTAAGTTTAAGTAAATTATAAAAAAAATAACGATCGTTTATTTATTGGTAAATTGTGTAACGTTGAAACTGATGCACGATAATTATTGTAGATAATGACAGGAGAGGAAATGGCTCAATGCGACGTTCCCGATAAACTCGCCATGTTTTCCTACCTCACACAGATATACGAAGTTTTCCGCGGTGAAATACCATACATAAAACATCCGAAATTAGTAAGTAGAACCGCACGATGACAGAAGGAAATCGGAAGAATTTTAACTGGCTTCCGTGTTTTATAGTATTCGCTAACGCGAACGTACAATTTACAGTCGTCGAAACATTCTTTAACAAGCAAGAACAATCCTCGTCCAAGAACCGATCCTATGTCCTATCGGAAACGTAGCCCGACGTACGTCGCTAATGACCGAAGAACAGAATCATTCTCACACCTTAATCCTCGAACGTTGTCACAAGAAACCGTCATCAATTCGCTAGACCATAATAACAACAGATTATCGTTAAGCGCAAACGTAACAAATATGGATGACAGATTAGAAATAAGCTGGATAAGAAATAAACTTCAGAACAATATAATCGCATCGTTATTGAAGAGAATACATAAATCACCGCATAATATCGATCAGAATCACGAATGTTATCGTTTGGATGATAGTAAAGTTAACGAGACTGTTGTAATTTTTATTTAAACATTCTTACCGCCTTCGTAAACCATGCGCGGCACCTATTCTCGCGTGATCCTATAACAATACGTTTGATCGTGGTTTTTTTTTATAAAGGAACCTGAAAACGATGAAAGGCCGACGCATAGTAAGCAATTGAGCCAATTAACACCTGACCAAAAGGTTCAGTTAATTGACCGTATCGTCAGGCAGGATAGCGGTACAAGAACGAGACACTCACGATCGCGACATAACGAAAATATGAACCCAGCGGATAAAAAGAGCGACACGATTAGCCGACGTTCTCGAAAAAGAAGAAGCACGGAGAAGATGGGCGCGACGGTGGTAAGTGTCTCATCGAAAGTGATTATTAAAATCTCATCGATCAAGGAATAACATGAGATACGCACCAGACATTTTTTTTTACAAATTCTTAATAACATTTTTTTTTTTTTAATTCAATAGATCATTCAAGGTTTAATATGTTCATTTGATCATTTATACAGGGTGTCATGTAAGGAATAAAAAGGATATAGTTTTTAATAAATTTTCAATTTCTACTACCAGTTACATGATATCCTGTATATTTTAATTTCAACTCTTTTGAATCTGTTAATTAAAAGGTTGTTAAGATTAGCTTCAATAGAAAGGGTTGAATGACATCTTTAACACTTTATGGAACGAAGAATGATAGGATTCTGTAAGGTGTTAAGAATTTGACACTAACATTCCACACACGAAACTTACAATGCTTATATCCTATAGTCACGGTGGCAGAAGATCGAAGCACTTATATATCGTGGGATAATCGTATCATTGTTAATCGTAATTATTGGAGTAACCATTGCCAAGGTGCAGAAGGAAGTCATTGAGTTCTAATCGCTTCGTATAATCGGCCAATGTATCAGCGGGACGTTACAAAAGCTCTCGGTTATGTTTTCAACTTTTTTCTATATATTATCCATGTTTATGTTATAATATATTTTCTACGTCAGCTTTTGTATTTGTCTTATTTTGAACTAAAAAAAAAAATGATTTTCGTTTAGAACGAATGGATTGCAATAGAATCCTGTCCCGATTATTATAATAGTCTCCTGTTAGAAGAAAGAGCAAATATGAATAAACAATGATCTACCTCAATAAATAAAAGTAACAATTCGTATGTTGAAAGAAAGAAAAAGAAGAGAGAAATTTGTTAGCATAGTTTCAACTGGAGTTGAAGAATCCCCAAAAATTGCTTTATCCTGTTTTCTGTAACAGTACCCTGTCATCCGTTGTGATTGTATAAATTTAATAGACAGAGACCGTGTAACAAGAAATATACATATTCTGTAAATAATTTGCGAATGAACGTTTAAATCGAAAAGAAAAAAAAATTAGAAATTTAATGTATGAGATTTTTGTATTAATATCGCTTAATATTTTACGGTGTACGTAAAGGAGGAAAGACAGAAGAGACTCGCGGACATAGAGAAAAATCGTGCTGAACGTATGAGAAGACGGCAATATTTGCGATACATGGCGACGCAGCAATTCTACAAAAGTATGCAGATGCTTCAAGCAAATGCTAAACGCGAGAAAGACGAGCCATTCGAAGATTATTCGATATTCTTATACCGGCAGACAGCACCGGATTTCAAGGATAGAGTGAAATACCTTGAACAGAAAATATTGTACCCAGTAAGCTGGAAAGTGAATGATTTTGGAGTGCACATTGGTTTTTCTATTCTTTTCTTTTTTTTTTTTTTTTTTTTTTAGTGCAAAATTTAACAAATATCACAGGGATTATACTCCTTCGATAACTAATTGGATATTGACATTGATTTTGTATGCAAATAACTTAAACAAGAACTGTACATTCACATTACTAATTCATTATAGCGTGCTGTGAATTATTCATTCAATTGTTTGGCTGTAATATAAAGTAAAAAGCAAAGGAATATGCAAAAAAAGGGAAAGATCAAATTCAAAATCACGTGCATGATGTATGTGCCAATAACATTAAAGAGTGAAAATACTCCAAAATTACATCACTAACTGTTCTCACAAAGATATGAATTTTATAGTAACACAAGTAAAATACACTTACATATCTTTCAACGACTATGACACTAACAAGACACGTTGTGAAGAAAAAGAAGCAAATGATTAATTATTAATATGTATATAAATTAATGAATTGAAAACTTTCAGTATCTTTTATACATGTGCTGTGATTATAAATGGTGGTGCATTCTTGCTTCTTTACAAGTTTTATCAAATTTGTGATTGTCTTCAGTACGCCTCAGATATATTTCAATATATTTCACACTCTATTCTTTCCTTCTAGGATAGAGAACCCAAGATACATGCTGGTCATCGTAGAAACAGTATAGATGAAGAATTCTCTGGCAGAATAAAAAGCATCGAGGATAAGCTGAAAGGATCTACTCCGTCTGAAAAGAAGCCTAGAGATCTTCTACGTGCCATTGGTTTGTATCGTATTCCTTCTATTTTCTATTTCAAGATCAACAAGATTTTTGGGTATTCTATAATTAACCCTAAATTATTTTCATATATTGTAACGTAATTGAACTGTTAACATGTACAGGTAAAATTGAGAAGACCGACTGGAATGTGAAGGAGATCGAGAAGAAAATTGAAGAGAATAAAATGGGTCGTTCGGTTCGACACGAAAAAATGGAAAGGGTACCGAAGTGGAGTCGAGAGCAGGTTGGACATTTAAGAAATTCAACGCTAGCTGGTAATCCAAGGTTTTTCAGATATCTATATGCTTCATTCAGTTTTTAGCTCGACAAATCAAGATGGAGAAGAAGGGACGGGATCAGAAGGAGTCAGATAGTAAGTACGCTGATATTGACAGTACCCTGAAGAATATTGACAGGAAGATCAAAGAGGGTAATGTCCTTGGTCACAATAAAGTCTCGGCTATGGCCGAGCAGTTTTCGAATAAAAGTCAGGACGCGGAGCCCAAGGTGCAGAAATCGGTAAATACGATGTTACAGAATTTCAGTACTCGAAGATATAGTCAGCAGGAATTTGTCGAAGTTTTTGTGACCGTTTATTACTGTACTTCGCATAATTTGTTTCGTGTAAATTGTAAATTCCTTTGCTATATTCCTATATTGATTTATTGATATATTCCTATATTGAATAGAATTGCTATATTCCTTAGAATATAAGAAATACGTTTCCGTGTAACATATGTAGCAAGTAGCATTAGATAAGTTTTGTGCACTTACAATTTTCCCTATTTGATTATTTAACTAAACTAAAATATCAATGACCCAATTCGAATTTTTACACATTCTAACTGTACATCATAAGGTATAATTACGTTCCCTTAAAAGTATTTTAATTCTGTTTAAAATTTGTATGTGCTGACTAAGATTCTTTTGTACTAAAATATAAAGTTAACAGTTGCAACTCAACTGTTGAATTTTTCTTACAGAATACTAAACCCACGATAACATTACCCGCGCAAGGAGGTTCAGAGATGTGTCATTTCTGCAACAAGAGGGTTTATTTGATGGAGAGACTTAGCGCTGAAGGGAAATTTTTCCATCGTGGTTGTTTCCGTTGTGAATATTGTTCTACCTCATTAAGAATAGGTTCGACTATTGTTTCTTAATCTCAGACTGTGTATAATTTTTAATCATACTTGTATTTAATAAGCTTTTAACTTTAGGAAATCATACGTTTGATCGGGAGAAGAATGGCGGAAGATTTTACTGTACGCAACACTTTGGTTTCTCAGGAACATTGAAAGCTCGTGCTGAGAAGAAGAGAATTGCATCAGTGAACAAAGAGAACATACCTAATTCCCCTGTAAATATAAAAACACCTGAAAAAGTATGATTCAGTCTTTTAAAACCATTGGTACAAACTAAAATTATAATTATAGATATTAATAAAATTAATATCCGCTTTTAGGCGAAAGCACCTCTGGAAGGCGTTGTCGGTCTAGATTTACTTGATCGCGGTCAGACACCTGAAAGAATAGAATTTGAAAACTTGGCAGAAATGTCAGATGCTGAAGAACCTCAAAGTCAAATAGACGAAGATGTATGGACAGATAGAAATTTCGGTGCTTCTACTGCTGAGATGGGCTCTAGTGATGATATCTCAGACATGAGGTAAATTATCGTTAACTTAAAATTTATAAGAACATTTTAAAATGATTTATTATTTAACAGTGACTCGGATGACGATAATGAAGTATACGAAGAAGCAATAGACCAACCACTGACAACTGAAGGGACTCTTGAACTTGCTAAAAATTGGACGTTAAGATATTCTCATCCTCATGCTACTTTGGGTCAGTCTGATACTGGAAGCAACGAGTATGAAGATTCCAGTGACGAATATACTAACGAAGGTATAATTAATATGAATACATTTGTTCATTGTCTTCTTTTTAATTACGGTATGATATTTTTCTGTTTAGACGACGAAAGTACGACTGCCACAGAAGATGAAGATGACATACGTGCTCGGGAGCTGAGAAAGCAAGAAGTCTGGCTGAAGAATCCTACGCGCAGCTCCGACACGGACAGCGGTTCGGAAACGGAGGTGAAAATTTCACAAGATTCTGTAGATAATGTAACTCAAGAGTCACTCGTACCTCCTGTGCAAACTTCTAATTTAATGTTACCCCAAGTGACAAATATGAATAACAGTGAAACAGTAATTGATCACAACAACAGCACCAACAGTAAGGATGTTAAAAATGTGTCAAATACAGAATCGTTATCGACTGATTCATCAATAAGTATCACAGATCAACAGGCATGTGGAAGCATAATTCCTATAACCAAGCCCTCTTTCTGTGTGATTTCAAATAACATTATAAATTCAGATTCTTCCTTAATTTGCTCAGACCCCTTAAATGTTCAGAATAATTTGAATGGGAATGATAACCCGGATAAGTGTATCTCAAAGAATGAAAATATAGTAAAGGAAAATATCCCCTCTGACGTAAATAAAACCCAAGAACTCTTAAATGAATCACCAACTCCATTTCCAAATATTGTGGATGACAAATTAACCAAAGAAATAATTCTAAATAATATTGAAGTAAATGATAAAGTAACTCCTGACCTAGGTATTACGTCTCCAGAAACAAGTGTTACATTAAATACTGAACTGCAAACAGTGTTTGCAGGAATTATGCTTCCAGATGCTATTCCATTTAGACAGATTAGTTGCAATAATACAATGCAGCCTAACACCGAAGAAAGTACAACATACAGGGAGAAACTACCAGATCTTGTAACCTCTTCTCCAAACCAGAGTAGGGAATCATCACCATCTTCATCTGAAATTTACAAATCAACGGAAACGTTATACGATGAATTATACACGCTCCCTCTTCAAGATAAAATAAGTACAGAAGGATCAGAAACTGGTGAATCGGATAATATTAAAAAGTATGATACAACAGGGAATGATAATTTAAGCCAGAAAGAGAATAAATTCAAACTACACATAAAAGACATTGAACGGATTCCAGTTCTGACTATTACTTCACCGTCTCCTACAAGTGAAAAATCATTGGACGAACCCTCCGTTGAAGTTAGTAAATTAACAATACCCAAAGAAGTTTCTAATCAAGCCCTTCAATCTGACGAGAATAGTTCATTCGACAAATTGAAACGTGATTTAAGACAAAGAAAAGCAAGGAATAAAATTCCAGTAGGTGAACTTCGACCACTGTCCACAGAAAATGCTCGACAAAAGATGAACAAGTACTTCACAGAGGGGAAAAAGCAGAAAACAGAGAAACATTGCGTACCTTCTCAAGGTGAAAAATCTCCGGATATTCAAATTGTTGAATTAGACATTAAACCAAAGGTATCTGCCAAGGTTGAAACTAAAGATATAATGAAATATTTTAATAAAACAAAACATGAGTCTCCTAAAAAAGTGGAAAACGAACAGTTGAAGAATGAACCTAGTGTAAATACTAATATTGATGAATTAAATAAAATTAACGTTAGCGATATTGATAGTATCGATAAAGAATTTGAACAGATAGAATTACTGAATGAAAAAATATGTTATATTGATACTGAGGATATTGAATCTAAATTGCATTTGAATACTCCATCACCGAGACTACATTTAGAAAACATATATAAAGAAAATTCAAATTCAAATAATAATAATTCACAAGTTTTGAATGAAGATAAAATAGATATGTTTAGTTTTTCTAAAAAAGTAAACATAGAAGAAGCAATAGAACTCAATGAAAGCACTTTAGGAAATAAATTACACAAAGAAAGACAGAATACTTCTAACAATGAAAATAATGACCGACAAGCAACATTAAGTCCCCAGATGAACGGAAATCATTCAGAAACCCAATTACACGAAAAGAAAACAGGTATCATAGTTTGTTCCCCTGAAAATTCACCCAGCATAAACCGAATAGCGTTGGCTGCGCAGTCCCAAAATAATAACTTGGAAACTAAACTCCATGAACAAAAAGCAAACGTGCTAACTCGTTCTCGTGAGGATATTAAAAATGATGTCACTGAAACAATGCTAATGCCACAGCTTAACAAAATTAAAATAACAGACAGCAGAAACAATGCTTTGCACGCAAGTGATAGTACTTTAAATGTAAGAAAAGGAATTATTTATGGAACTGATTTATCACATAAAAATTCCAGATCATCTTCTGAATTAACAAGCTCTCCAACTGAATACGAGAAGATTATCAAAGTTAATGTTCTTGAAAAAAATATTGGAGTACCAAGGCAAATAAACAATAGTTTAATTGCATTAGATACATTAAATGATGCTCCAATAAGACCAGAAAGAAAACATGGACAACAGAATTTAAATTCTTCGAGACCTAATGTTTCCAGTACACAATTTGTTCCTGAAGTTCCTTTAAGGACAAAGTGTACAAAGAGAAAGCCTAATACTGCGTCTTTAGAATCTACCAATGTGCAATCAAGTTCCATTACAAGTAATGAAAGGTTAATTGTGCAGGACACTGTTAGTGATAAACATAATAACACTACAAGCACAGGAATTGTTGATTTAGAACATTCACATAAAATAATAACCAACGACAGTGAAATAAGTAAAACACCTGATAATATTTCTGTCAAACAAAAACACCCTCATCCTATAAAGTCTCATTCATTAACAAAATCTGACCAGCGTGGATCTTCAACCACCATAGCTTCTAAGAACGATAAAAGCAAGAAAGATAAATGTATTATATCTTAACATAGAAATTAATTTTTAATTTATACATTGTATAGAAGTGCATTAAGTATGATGAACACATCTCTGAACATTATTATATTTATTTGAATATATGTGTTTTTATGACTTACATTTAGGGAAATTGTGTGAGATATATTAATAAAGTAAGAAACAAAAGAATATTATTTAGAGTTGGCTGATGGTGGTATATCTTTTTAAAGTACCCAAGACTACTGAGGAAAAGGTAAAGAATTTTTATGTACGAATGGAGTGAAACTATTGAACTAATTATAAATTAACAGTGACTAAAACCAATTAATTGTTTGTGTTTGGTTTAGTGTTCATGCTAAAACTGGCAGCATAACTTACAAATTTTTAATTAATTTCGAAATTACCACCAGCCAATACTTTATTAAAAAATCTCACTCTCATTTTAGATAAATTCAAACAATTATCATCATGATCAGTTTCATGGTAAAAAGTGAACAATTAGCAGTGACTAATAAATGAGAAACATTATACATATAATAATATTATTCAAAATTTATCATAATAACAATTTTTCTTATCAATCTTGTAGATTGAATTCTAGAAAATTATTTCAATCATATGCATCATGTTCCTTACACTAATTGTTTCACTAATACACTAAACAATACTTTCTGTTCTTTTCTTTATAACATTCTATGTTATATTAAGCATTTTTCTTCATTTATTAATATAATATTTGTGTTTCTACAGGTTGCCTCCAACGAAGGTACATCAGATGAGAGCGAGGAGAACTCGGCCACGGAGATATCAACCGATTCTGAATTTGAACACGATGGTGCCACTCCTACTCTCCATAAGATCCCAGAAATCACAATCAACGACTCGTACATTCGAAAAACCAGGGGAAATTACGTAGAGCCAAAGAAAGTTCAAGTGAAGAGCAAAGTTATATCGTCGGTTAATGGAAACCTTAAGCAAGATAAGGATCCCGATGAGAAATTACAGATGAAAGCGGATCATAGCAAACACCCTCCTCGCGCAGGGAAAGAAAGTACCTTGAACGAACAAGAAAGCAATAATACAAATAGAGTTCCTTTAATGAATCCACGTAAAGGAGATTATCTATTGAATCGCACTCATTCGACGGAAGGTATCGCGTCCAAGTTATCTTTAGAATTAAAGAAGAAGTATTTACTGGGTGGCTCTGCTTTCGGTGGCTCCGTTATGAAATCAGGATCAGCTTCAAATGTAGATACTCAACTGAGGAATCTAACCGATGCCATTTCTCAGCATCAGAAACTCTTGAATCCTGCGCCAGAACCAAGTCCTACGATGCAAGCATTTCTGCAAGGAACCAGTAAACTGCGATCAAGCAACGCCCAATTGTCCCCGATATCACCCACAGCGATCTTCTCTTCTTCTCCTGTAAAATCTTACTCCGCGAATCGTTCATCCCAGAATTTATTGAACAATGATAATCCAATGTACAAAGCAACGATTCTGCCTGAAATGTCGAAAACCCAGTTGCCGGATTTAGTCAAAGAGTCGAGTATTCTAAAGTCAAAGACTGCGCCCAACATTGTCTGCGGCGAATCGAAAAGCACGGCGAGTAAAGAATTAACAAAGGAACAGGTGTCGTCTAGTCAAACGGCCACGATGGTCAACAGCACCCAAACGATGGAAAATGTAAAGAACTCTCAGAACGTGGATACTAATGAAAGCAATGGTTTTCGGCCAAGAAGTCCTCTGCACGAGACCTCCATCATTGTGCCACAGGTTGATTGGAACAAAAGGAAGGCAGAAGCCAAGGAGACAGTTAGCAGCGAAGACTCGGAGATAGACAGCGATTCCTTGTCTTCCACCGATGGCGAAGCTGAAGAAGGTGCACAGAATCAACAGTTGTCTGCTGTAAATTTGTCCCCGCCACGATTACAGATTCACAGTACAGATGGGGATCTATTATTGGACGAACAGGCTGACAGGTATAAGGACTTTGACGATGCCCAATCCTTCGAACCAGACTCCATAGAATGTCCGTTTCTACGAGACGAAGAGACGAACGATAACATAATCACGTCTGCTGATCCGGTGAGCAGTATGAACAAAACATCAATGGAACTGGAAATAGTGAAAAATGAAATCGAACACTTGGAATTGCAGGACGATAATAAGAAGAGTATCAGCAACTGCAGCACCCCAACGTCTGTAGCTTCTACTGTATCGAATAAACAGGATGATTCCGAAGAGAACGACGTGACCACTGCTGCTTTCACTGAAACTGAATTCTCAGAATGGGCTCGCGACGGAGAGGTACTTGTCTCGGACGACTTGCGAGACGTCGAATTTAATATAAATCCGGAATTCATAACCACTAGAAGAAACGGTACGTTGTTAGGGAAAACGAGAAATTCAAGCATCACCATAGCGAAAGAGGAAGATCTGACGGACATGGAGCTAGATCCTATGAAGTATAACAGGAAGCTGGAGATTCCTGTTAACGACACCTCGAAGCTTCTAGCTAACGGTGAGAATATTGATTTCATGGATACAGACAATGATTCTTTGTTAGACGATAGCCTGCAAGACGCTTCTAACATGGTTATACTTAAGAATAGAGGATACGTGGAGTTTGTGAACATCAAGAGCGCTCCGACCTCTTCGAGTTCCCAAGAGAGATTGATTACCGACGCTCCGATAGCACAATTGGACGCAGAGAACGATTCGTGTTCCGAGGAAGAAGCTTACAACGATAGGAACGTGATAGAAATTAATCCTGTTACTATGGACGACGTTATGAATAAATTAAACGGTACTGTAACGAAGACGGAAAATGAAATTGTGGAAAAGGCAGATGCGAAAGAGAATTCTGTTCAACACGATCAACCTCCTGTGGAAGCTGTAAATAAAGAACTGTTCCAGTCGATGGAGGAGGATAGTTTGCTGATCGTTGAACCGGCTGAAGATACAACCACCAGTGAAGTAATCACGATCCTTGCCAGTCCGGTGAATCCACAAGTTTCTATTGTTCCAACTCAGATTCAAGAGGCCAGTCAGGAAGAAGAACCGAAAACTGCGGCCGATTCAAGCAACCCGGACTATCTGGAATATGTTAAACGATTGCAGTCTAGAATCGCAGAATTTAGTAATGCCAAAGACTCCATTGATGTGAGGAAATCGAAGAGGAAGAACTCGAAGAGTTCTATACAAACGCGTACTGCTGAAATGATAGCAGAAGAAATCAAGAGTCAAGATGCCATCATAAACAACAGCTTCAATTCACCAGCTACCTCGAGAAAATTGGAAGAAATTACGAGAGAAAGGTCTAAACAAAAGAACGTTATACAAGACTTATTGATGGATAAAGTAGAAGCTCATAAGCAGAAGTCTGCGGAGAAGAAAGCAAGAAGGGCCGCTAGAGCGTCTTCATTTACATCTACTCCTGTTTTATCACCGATAAGGCCACCTGTTTCTAATACTTCGTTGGTTAACAAATTCACACCTACGTCCATAGTAACACCTGAAAACAGTCCTCTGCGAACTACTTTTGCAGATGCCAAAAAGTGTCTGGAAACTGAAGAGACACAGCGAAGAGAAGAAGAAATAAACGAAGGGAGCAAGAAGAATGAAATTCAATCTTCTGAGAATGCTTCGTTGACCGAGGCAAATAACGAGGCAGAAAACAATTTCAAGACACCAGTTGCTCCGCCGAGATTGAAACATGAAGAGGTAAGAAGGACAGCAGAAAAGGCGAGACAAGATGCCAGAGAAAGAGCCAGGTTGAAAAGCGACGAGGACCTGGGTCTCAGCCCTGAGGACAAGATAAAAGAATTGAGGATGAAAGTTGCACGAAGGCAGCTTTCAATGGAAGAGAGGAAAAGCAAAGAGGAAACACAGCCTGAACCTCGTATGAGACTTTATAGCTCTGGGGAAAATAAGACTGGATTAAAGTTGCAGACAAGTAAAAGTACAGATAACATGAAGGCTGTAGTGGAGGCAGTAAATTTCAGTGGTCTATCTACAGCTAACACAAAGTCAATGGATGAACTTCTACGTACCAGTGGTTCTCCAAAATCCAATACCTCTATCACCGTTGTGAAAAGAGATAAGAAGCAGAAAACAAAGGATCCGGAAAGAAGAAAGAGCATTATTCAAGCAGTTTCAGACTTCTTCTTTAAGAAGGAATCATCACCTTCACCGTCCAATCAGAAAGACAAGTTATCTATGTTCCGTCTGTCATCAAAATCAAAAGGCAAAGTACGTTTACTAATGTTACCTCTTCTTAATCTTTACATTTCTTCTGCTGTACAGTGTAGATATACTCTTGACTGTTTCTAAACTAATTGGATTCTAAAATGTTTCAGTTATATAAATCGTATTCGGAAGGGTCAGATGTAAGCAACTCATAAGTCATTGATACTAATTTTTCCAGTATTAGCTTTCTTATGCCACTATTTGTATTCGTTATTGTATATTGTGCAGGTACTATAATTTTATTTTCGTTTGCTGCATTTTCTCGTCTGCTTTAAAACGGTAACATATTGATTGGCATAAGCTATTGTACTTTATTTTTGCAGTATAGAATTTTCAATCCTTTCTATAATAACCACCGTTAAAAAACAAGCATGTTAAATTGTATCATATGTATATATTGCCATTTCAGTATGTTCATTTTTTGTAGTGTGCTTTGATTATTTTTATTCTGTTTCTAATATAAATAGAAAGATAAAATGTAAATAGTAGTTTATTATGAGTTATTTGAAAATTGCTATTTTAATTTCTTTTCTTCTATACAAATTCATGACATTACTTTATCAAACAGAAATTGATATAACTTAGAATATTATATTATTTGCTGTAATTGAGTAGTATCCGAGTGTACGTGTGTATTCTATAACTGCATTAATTTTATGTAAGCTTTAATATCTTTTATTGCAGTTTTCGTTTTCAGTGTTAAAATAATGTGTTAATTTCCAGAATCAAACTAATTTTTCTATGTCTATAACGAACAGTACAAGGAATCAATATTATAATGAATCCATTTTTTTCAGCTTGATAAAATTGTACCACCAAAGACTAACACGAGACCAAAAAGTGTCTGCGAGGGTATGCTCACTAGAAACTTCCTGAACGAAAATGCACCTCCAATTCCACCGCCGCCCCTTAATTATACTATTCCCACTACACATGTATCAGGTATGAATAACATATAACACTTGTTTCACAAGTGATAAATATGCATTTTATATATTTAATACACATTTTCATTTAACAGATGACAGTTTATCAGAAGATGATACAAAAACAACTGCAGTGTCAACATCTTGCATGCATAAAGCTACAGTAACTGAAGGTTCATGCAATAGCATTTCACGTAAAACAAAAACTACAAAACGAATAGCTAGACAAGCACAATTAAAAAGGTATACAAGAAAAATATTTCATGTTCTAAATAGATCAGTATTTCAGAATATAACAAGTTCTCTATTTTCAACTAATATATAACAAGTAAGTAACATTTATAAATATTTTGAAGATTACGTATGGCTCAAGAGATACAAAGAAAATTAGAAGAAACGGAAGTTAAGCAAAGAGAATTAGAAAGCAGAGGTGTTAGCGTTGAAAAGGCTCTCCGTGGAGAAGGCGGTAAGAACAAACATTATTGTTATCATCAAAGATTTTAATACAGATTGAAAAATAAATTATACTTTTAATATTCAGAATGCTCCGATCGAGAAGAAGCAGATTTGCTTAGAGAGTGGTTTGATCTTATGAAAGAACGCACAGAACTGCGTAGATATGAAAAGGAACTTTTAGTTAGAGCTCAGGAAGTTCAACTTGAAGATCGTCATGAAAGATTGCAGCAGGAATTGAGAGAACGCTTAGCTGATGATGGTTAATACTTTATTATTATTATAACTACAAGTATATGTCTTTAAATATTTCCTAAAGGAATGTCAAAGCTGAAGATATATTTAAACATTACAGATAACAAAAAGACCAGTGATGACGTGAAAAAGGAAGGGGAAATTTTAACTGAAATGCTGGAAATAGTCGCGAAGCGAGATTCACTCATTGCCCTTTTAGAAGAAGAGCGACAAAGGTGGTGTAAATCTACATGCCAAACATTAACTTCTTTTCCTAAATATACAGTTGCCTGCTCCTCGCACGTACCTAATTTTTTTACTCATAATTTCAACAACTCGTCATTTGTGTTCACTCTGACAGTCATTTTAATCGCGTATGTGTTTTTTACTAACTTAATAGAATTATTTGTTAACTTTTACAGGGAGCATTTAACGCTTTTCAAATCGTGATATTTTTTTTTTAATTTCATAGGCAATATTAAACAAACGCTTAGCTTTTATAGCGTTGTTATTTAATTATTTGCAATATAATTATACATACATATCAAAGAATCTATTTTTAAATCTTTTTTATTACATTTCACTGTATTTTGTTTGCTTTTTTTTTGTTATGGTAGTTAATGTTCGTCTTGTTACAGCTACCAAATTATAATGCATGCTATAAAAGCATGTCATAAGAGGATTATATTTTAAACTTCTTTTTTCCAGTCATTTTAAAATTTTTGTCACAATCTAATTGTGCATGTTATTCGTGTATACACAATTCTTTTTCTGTTACATTCTAAGCATTTTTTGCATTGTGATAAAGTGATGTATTATATACATAACTATATTGTAGTATTGTTGTATGAATGAAAATATTTTTGTTGTACTTAAAATTATCTTTAATCATGTACAAGATTAAAAATATAACATCATTAGAATTATAGTAATATAACCATTGTTCAATTTAAAACTATCCTTTAGTAGTTATTTTGATGAAAAAAATAAAATAACATCTTTTTATGTGTTTATGATAATTATTTCCTAAACACATATCTATACCGCAGAAGGCTGTAGAAATGAGGATTTATATAAAGTTGCTGTTTAAAAATATAAGAACTATTACTTGTTTAAATTTTTAAACAGGAATAAGAGTATGTAGCACACTTTTTAATCTGCTTTTGAATCATAAAAAGCAATATTTAAATTAACAATCATACGCATTTGTGATATTAATTGATCTCCATATTAATTTCAATGATGTTTTGTCTGCACAAGGTACAGAAGTTATTATATTCATACTCTAGTTATAACATTTAGCAGTTAATGGAAACATACTTTTCTTTTAGGTATCAAGATGAAGATCGTGACCTTGAAGCTCAAATGTTGGCTAAAGGCCTCAGATTAACACCAATTAAAAAATGTGGTCCTAAATATTCGGTTTAATAGGAATCCACAGCCTTTGTACATATGCTCCATCCTATATTTTCATTAATCAATTTTAATATACCATTAAATTAATTATACTGTAAATAAGAAACAGATCTTATACGAAATCAAGTTACATAAATCAAATTTTATGTTTCATACAATTTTTACAATATGCTGAATCATGAATTGAATTATAGGTCATTCACTACTAGATTTTTTGTGAACAAGATCAACTGCTTAATTTTACACCTGTGACTTTTATAAATCGTATTTATTTAAATCTATAAACGTTATTTATATATGGTTTTAATATTTGTTTATTTACAGTATAACATCTTTATGTATCATATATCATGAACTTTTTTTAAATAGTCAAATTGCAAGGAATTGTAATATAAATGACCTCAGTCCTCGATGCTTAATGTTTAAGATAAGTTAAATCATGAATAATATCACGATTAATAATATTTATATAATTATATAGATTCTTGCACATATATTGTGCATTCTGTACAGAAATACAATGTGACATATGGATTTGAAAAAAAAATTTATGAATACGTATATATTTTGTCACTGCAAATATAAACCATAATTATGAAATAAGTTATCACAAAGAACATTCTGCCTTTATATATAAACCAATCAAACTGTAATACATACGAGGACTTATTGCAAACATAAAATGTTGTATTTTGTAAATTTAGTAGAGTATCAGACAAGAAATAATATCTTTTTCATTACAATATTGCAGTGTTTCCTCATTGCAATAATAAATGATGTTAGGATAGATATACATGATATGTATATTCTCTCATTAAATAAAATGTATAAATCTATTTTTATGTTTACAAAGAGACTGGTAAACAAACTGTATGAAGAATTATAACATTTTAATAAGTCATAACAATGTAAAATTTTATATGAAATACAAGGAAAATTAGAAAACGATATTACATTTGAAATTAGAAAATTTGAAATTATTCCCTTGCTACATGTTCAATACATAACATTTTACAGTAACAGTTGTGTACATCGAAACAAGCTGCCAATTTTTAGGCTTAAATGTTAGCTACATAAACAGTTAATTAAATGTAAAAATACAATAACAATTACATGAATAGCAAAGTAATATACTTCTCTGTAAATCTTCATATATGTAATTATAAAACATAAGTAGGTAATATAATATTTTAATCATCATTGCCATTTAAATAAGGACATGAATGAATGTTAATAAATTATTTTTATGCTTTATTTAAATTAATATGCTACCATACAAGAATATTTTTGTGTATTACTGAATATTAAAATGCAATTATATATATAGTAGTAAGATGTATGTCACAAAAACGTTTTAAACATTTCAAATACAATATAATTAAAGCCCTAATTGAAAAGCGTAGAAAATAAATGTTTTCTCAAAAGTGAATTCATTATAACAATTTATTTTGAGGATTAGGATTTATTAAATAAATGAACATATTTAATATCTTCAATACTAGTCTTTTCAACTTTATTTGAAAAAGTACTATAATGATTTTTACAATCATGTGTGCCTAACAAATGGAATTGTACAACATATGTAATTAAAAGCAAACTGTACAACATTAAACTAAAAGCATATGTTCAGTTTAACATTTTGTAGAAATCCTTATAAACCTGTATAACTCTATTGCAAATAAAGTTAATCTTTTATAAGGCTATAATATACAATCAATGATATAATTTGCATAGAAGTTTAGTAGATGTATTTTGAAAGTGATTCAAAATCATTTAATTAAAAAGTCAACTGTATAGCGTCTAAATGATTTATAATTAGATATTTATTTATTTATAAAATATATAAGTAATATCTTAATTTAACATTTAAATACATATAACACATGATTTTTATATTTTTAGCGAGCGTCATTTGTATTACAAAGGTATAGTTCCCGCCAGGAGGGAATGTGCTCGTTTCGCGCATCTCAGCTAAGTTCAGAAGATGCCACCGCCAATGAAATGCTGCTTTACCGCTTGTTTCTCATCTAGTAATCATATACATACATACATAGCGAACAAAAATCCACGAGCAGCTAAAAGAAGAAAGAAATAAGGATATACTATGTATACCGCAGTTCACCAGAGTCCATAACTACGAAAAGACCAATTTTCGTTCTTCGCGCATCTCTAGTACGCATCTTCGCCCTGATTGGCGATACTCCTAAACGAAGTGGAAAGCGATTAGCAGAGAGCTCGCTGCGTTCCCCCACCATCTTCCAACCTGCGCGTCGCAGTTATGGACTCTGGTGAACTGCGGTATATGTAGAAGAGTATACTAAATAAAAAAGTCACTGGATATACACGCTCGACGCTCGGCAGAAGAGCGCTTACGCCATCATGTGCGAAATGAACGAAAGACGATTGTATACGACCGACCAATAGGAATAAGCATGAAGATATTCGTTAATCCAGCAGTGGGGAAAGGGAGTGACGAGTGACTACGAATTACAATTAGCGACACAACAAATGAAAGCGTGACGTGAATAGGCTGCTTTGCCATACCGCGTCAGGATAATGTCGTTCGAGAAGAAAAACGTTGTCCGATTGTAAATCAGGGTCCATAAAAGTCCCGTAATTGAATCCCGGCACTGTTTAATCGCGCAGTTGCCAGAAAATGGAAGCAGACTATCAACCGACGCTAAGCCCGACACGAACTTTGACAGGTGAGCCTTGTCGCGATTGTTGACGCTACCTTAGGTGTCAAATAAACGTCACGTCAAGTATAAATATCGTTGAAAACATCGTGATTGTAAATGTTCACCTGGCATGGACATATTTTTTTTTTTGTTCGTTCTAGCGAGAAAAACATTTCACGATGGATCTCAGTCTGCTATGTGGAAATGCACATCGATAAGTGACGAATAATTCGCGTATTGACACGATAGTGCGTATTAATAATATTTCAAGTTCTGATTGTAACTTGATATAGTTATCTTACTTAGCTGAAATGCATACTGTAATAACGGTAGAAAATCTGTTGTTTTCTTGAGTTTTATCACTGCATATAGTGGTTTGTAAACACGGTTTAAAATGCTACGAAATATTTATTTGAAATAATACACCGTGTAATGTGATCGAAAAAAAATAAGAAACCGCGAGTGTATTCAAGCCATCAATTTATTATATTTCTTATGCAAACTTATCTTTTAATTCTTACTTTAGTTACTTTTATGTATCTGTTTATAAAAGCAAAATCATTGATCAAGTAAAGAATTCCTTATGATCAGTGTAGTGTTCTGTGATTCATTGAAACATATTTGGTACAGTAAAATAATGCGCATACTTCTGTTTGTACGATAGCAATAGCTAATGACGTCGAAGACCCATACCCAAGTTTGTCAGATTATCATGATTATGAGCCCAACTTGGAGTTCGATGATACCGAGTTACAATCCACCTCAAATAATGGTAAGATACAAAAGCAAATTATTAACTACAAACTATACAAAATAATTCATTATTTTCATTGTTACCATTTCATTTATGAACACTGTGAATTCAAACCAATTACTTGTATTGCTATTATTTTTATTGTATTTACGTATAAATCCTTATTTTAAATTCAAATCTTAATAGTTTTCCATAATTATTGTAGAATATAATTAAAATAATCCATTTTGTAGCTGTACAGCTTTTAGAAGAAAAGTTGGATTTGATTAGCAGTGGTGCAGGTACTGGCATAGATTATTTGGAGAGTCCAGTAAGCGATGGGACAATTGAAGAAAACTTTGAAGAAGCTTTAGTAGATGCTCCAGTTATCGAATCTGGTGTGTGACCTTTTATCTTCTGTTAGTAGCCACTAAATGTCATGGCATTTGGGGCTTAGCAGGTGAATTATGTAGATCATTGTACAGTTTATTATTGCATGGTATAACAGCACACAGAAGCGAGGGTTACATGATTTTTCATTTATTCTTATTGAATTATTTTGTATGTATATTTTGTAAAAAAAATTTAAAAGAGCAAGAAAGAAAATGTTTAATAAGAAATTATTATGAAAACCATCTTTTGCAATGAGCAGCAGAGGATCTTGCTGCGCTGGACGGTGAACTTGCGGATGAAGAAGATTATCTTGATATTGCAAGACATGGCATTGTAGAGGTGGTTGGTGATGATAGCGCTGGTCGTAAAATAATAGTAGTATCTGCGTGTAAATTACCTCCCGTAGGAAAAGAAACATTTAATCATGCTAAACTCTTAAGGTTTGTTCATATAAATAGATCTATTGGAGTTAAGTATTCTGATAATAAATTTTGTAATATTACAATTATTCAATAGGTATCTCACGCATACTTTAGACACCTTTGTAGAACAAGACTATAGTTTAATTTACTTTCACTATGGTCTTACCTCGAAAAACAAACCACCATTATCTTGGTTGTGGCAAGCATATAAAGCTTTTGACAGAAAGTATAAAAAGAATTTAAAAGCTTTGTATTTAGTCCATCCAACCAACTTTATTAGAATTGTATGGCAAATATTTAAGCCAGCCATTAGGTAACTGATTTTCCGTTACTTTTAATTAATGAATGCTTAGCTGAGACCATTATACTAAATATTATTTTATTTTAATTTAGTGCAAAGTTTGGTCGGAAGATGATGTATGTCAATTATTTAGAAGAATTAGCACAATACATTAATCTTGATCAGCTTATTATACCTCCTCAAGTAATAGAGTAAGCATTTTCTTTATAATTTTAATAATGATGAAACACTTGTGCTATTAATTAATTAATTATATTTTTTCTTAGACACAATGAACAGCTAATGTTAAAGAACAAAAAAAATTTACCAACAAGTCCACCTCAGAGTACGGTAACAACACCAGTTGGTACCACTCAATTTGGAGCAAGTCTCCTTTTTATTAAAGAAAATAACAATGGTGACCCTATACCAGCCATAGTGCGGCAGTGTGTAGAATTTCTTGATACACCTGATGGTATGTGCAATCATTTTATAACTTTTATATATATATATCGTATTATAAAAACAATGATTAATACTTTTAATACCGTTTGAAGCATTAGAAACAGAAGGAATATTTAGAAGATCAGCTAATGTAGCAGTAATTAAAGAACTTCAGAGTCGTTGTAATCAAGGGTTACCTGTTGATTTCCAAGGAGATCCACATATAGCGGCAGTTCTTCTTAAAACGTTTCTTCGCGAATTAGATGAACCCCTTATGACATATGAATTATATGATGAAATAACACAATTTCAAGGTAAATATTAAACTTATAATTTATGTATGTATAATTTATGGATGTAAAAATATTTAAGTACTAATATTTTAGCTCTATCAAAAGATGAACGTCCAAGAAGGGTAAAAATATTAGTACTCGAAAAACTTCCGGAAGATAATTATCAGCTCTTAAAATATATTGTACAATTTTTATCTAGGGTAAGATATCATTATCTTAATAATTATTTTTTACCTTGAACAAATTATCATGTTACGATATAATACGTTATTTACAATAGGTAATGGATAGATGTGACTTAAACAAAATGACATCAAGTAATCTCGCTGTTGTATTTGGTCCAAATCTTGTCAGAGCTCCGCCATCACGTGGAATGTCGCTTTCCGCAATAGGTCCCATTAATCAATTCATAGATTTTTTATTTATTCATCAAGATAAAATATTTATTATTTAAAGAAAAAATATGCGTAGAACCGAATACTAAAGGCCTAATTTAAAACAGAATTAGTACTTTCTAATATGTGTTTTAGATCAGAAGTCCTATAAATTTGGCTGCCGAGTTTGATATTGTATAAATTTACATAAAGCAACTTCGAAGAAAATTTTATAGGATTTTTAATGACAAGTTCGCCAAGTTTCTTGCGACTTTCATCTTATTGTTAGTGTACAAAACTAAGAAATTTCATTTATCAGTTTTACCCGAGACCTTTCATCTTAATATATACATAAAAAATGATAAATCTCATTTATTAATTCTACATCTTCGGAGTCATATCAAACTTGTTGGAACTTAAATAACGAACGTAACAATTCGTGTGTAATATTAATATTTCATTATAACATCCGTACTTTGTTGATTAAAATATTTTTATATTCAAATATACAGATAGAGAAATATTTGCATACCTAAATAATGTCACAAATAGCACTTAGTTATACAGCTTGCACAAGATTTTAATAAATTGATACGATAATTTCAGAATGAAAATATTAGGCACTGAAATAACTCTGGATACTTTATAATTTAAAAATGTATAAAGTTACGTGAAAATTAATGGTATACCAAAGATATGTGAAAATGTCATACAATTATAAAACGTAGGATTATTTAGGAATAAATATTACGTAATAACTTATATTGGTAGAAGTATGATGTACAGGATGCCTTGCTCGCATAATTTTAACTTAAAGAGAAATGAACATGACAAGATTTATAGAAAGTCATAATGATTACATCTTGTTATAGTTGATTAGTATAGCCAAAGCGATATACGGTAATGAATTAGTAATTATTAATAGTATGTGGCATCCTTTGTATCGAAGTTGTGTATAATATACATACAGAAAAATTAATACTAATGTATACAACTTTAGCCTTATTAAATGAAATTGTTCTTTTAACTATATAAATATTTAGAATCTTAACGAATTTTTTAAACTATCGCAGTACACTACAAAATTAAATTTCAGTTTATAATAAAATTTGTTGCTTCTACGGTAATCTCGTATAACAGAATCTCTGTATGGTTAGCATGCTTATGTAATGTTTCGTCTATAATTTTAAATGTTAACGGCAAACTATAAATTAACAAATTTATACAGAAAAAGAAAATGCTTATTTTTTAATTTAAGATAATAATGAAAAATTATTAAAGCTGTTACGTATTACTACGATAATTTAATAATTAGACTAAAATCAGTCAGGGTATTGTGTAATGTAATATTTAGCATATAATATCTGGTCTTACTTCAAAGGTGAAAGACTTACACTTATCTTTCTATCATCAAATTGTATCTCTGTACATTCTTTTAAATAGTCCTGCCATTATGGGTTTCTGGGATAAAATAGAGGCTAATGCCTGATACATTATTTGTTCTAAAACAAGACTAACCCAGACCTATATAGAACTGATACAGTCCAATTACATTCCTTGTTATTATTGATATAGTTAAAGTACTGTAATAAAGAATAATTATTTATACAAAAACTAGGAATAATTAATGTGTCATAATATGTACGTTACACTATACTGATTTTTTAATCATTCTTTTTGATATTTAAAATTTTTTATTTTCGAACATTCGTCGATAATTCATTCATAGATTTTTCGCTAGGATTGAAATAATGTTATAAAAAAATAGTGAATCATTCGGTGAAACATACTTATGTTGTTATCATAAATAGATGTGTGGATGATTATAATCCATATATGTACCTGTGATAGAATAGAGATTATATTTTAGTCTTACAAATCTTATGCATGTAATTAGTAAATCATTTAAGTTGTAACTAATTATAAACTAATCTAAATTGTGAACTATCAAACAAAACATCTCCAAGAATAACATTATATTAAATATGTGTATATGTTAATTAACTTTTTATTAAAACACAATAGTATTTGAATATACATACATACGTTTATATGACAGAAATACATACATCTGTTAATTGTAATAAATCTTCTAGCTATATGACATATATGAGTAACAAGATATTTGGTTTATGAGTCGACTGAGGCTCTATCAATGTAATAAAATACTAAAATACATAAAAATCAATTCCCAAAATATAATTAGTATTTCTTATCGCGCGCTAAGTTAAATTACTTAGGCTTTGTATTTATTCCTAGATCATCGTATTTTTCCTTTTAAGAAAAAAAATGAAATAGTAAAAATTTAATGACATAATGTGTAGCACGTCAGTCATTTCCTTTATAGTCTTTGTACAGTAAAATCACTAATATTAATATTTACATTGTTACATTGTTGGTTGATGTTGGTATATGAAATTACATCATTGGGAATTTTTTAGATGTTATAAGAATAATATTCGATTAAATCTTTTCGCGTGTATAAAATTTTCGCATTGTGGAAAATGTTCAGTAATTATAATTATAAAAAAATCAAGGTTTGTTGATGCTCATACTCCTATAAGAATGTTGCTTTTTTTTAGTACTGCAATATCATTCAACACTTATCAATTATTAATTTATTTAGTACAACAAAATGTTATTTAAAAAAGAAAACAACAGTAATATATAAATATTTTATAAATATGAAATAACAATAGATAGTGGTCACTTAAACCATAAAGCTCAAATGGAGAACATATTTGGTTCTGTACTAAAACGTTGTAGTATTATTTTTTACATTGTACCAATGCAGCTGAAAGAAATTTCTTTATGCTATTTCATGATTATTAATGCAATCATTTGATGATTTTATCGAAAAAATCAATTTAAAAAAAATATAGTAGCCTATGAGATAGGCAATATACATATATATTATATATACATATTTAAAATTAGAACCAAGTTTAGAACAAGTATCTGAAAATTAAGATGCTTGTGAAGAACCACCACAACAGGAACTTTTAGCATATTGTCTTTCTTCAGCCTCATCTTCAACTACAACAACATTACGGCGTGTACTATTTGTTCTAGTTAATGTAGACTTCTGTTCTGCTTCATCTGCATGTTGTATCATACGTTGTGTCAAGTCCAAAAACATTTCTTCAATATTTTGACTTAACTTGGCAGAAGTATGATAATGCATGGCTCCAACTTGTTTAGCATATCTGGTAATGAGATTTCATGTTACAAGAATTTTTATAACATGAAAGTAATAAAAAATACTTACTCTTCTGCTTCTTGAATGGAAACACTTCTGTTCTTTTCAAGATCTACTTTATTTCCTGCTATTGCTAAACAAATTTCACTGCCTAACATTTTCTTGAGTTCTTTAACCCAATTTTTTACCTACAAAATCAATATTAATGCGAATGATAAATGGATAAAGGAACAATTTAAAAAAAAATAAAATTATTTACCTTTTGAAATGTATCTTCATCTGTGATATCGTAAACTAAAATGGCACCATTAGACATTCTATAATAGATTGGTCCTAATGCATGAAATTTTTCTTGACCAGCCGTGTCCCATATCGCTAAATTTACTTTTTTATCATTGACAGTTAGTTTTTTATTTAAAAATGAAGCCTAAGAAATAAAACTTTCAATGTAACTTGATAAAAGTTATAACCATAATAGAAATAAATATAAAGCAGAAAGATAAAAGCATAAGCAGGAAAAATGTAAACATATCTTACCTGTAGCGTGCTGATATGTTTATCATTAAATTTGCCATCAACATAACGCAATGCAACTGAAGTTTTTCCAACGCATCCTTCACCAAGTAAAACTACTTTAAAATTATAACCATTACCAGTGCTACTAACTGAACTGGCCATAATTTAAGTAACTACTGTATATACTTAGATGATAATATTATTTTTAATTGTGTAGAATACTTGGTGATAATAGAATTTATAAGGTATATTGGCAAGTATCAATCATAACGACTTAAAACTGTCATAAACGTATTGCGATATCTACTTGCACTTTTATGTTCACCGAACAACGTCAAAATGAAACAATCAGCTGTTTTCATTTCAATGACCACCTAACAAACAAAAAAGTAAAAACATCTATTCTTGTTTCAAAGATATTGCCGATAGATGGCAAATCATGAGTATTTGTTAAGTATTCGTTCTCGTGAACCGAAGTTTAAAAGATGTTATTAAACTTCTAACATCAATTTCTGCTAACTAAAAATGCGACAAATAATTTACGTTTAGTCTACTCGACGTAACATTATAAAAGGAAAATTCTTTGTAGCGAACATCCATAGAACTTATCTTCCATCTATGAAATTTAAAAAATGTACATATGTATATCTATTACGCATAATTTCTTTTTCATTGTGTTCGTTAATCACGAAGGTGGCGCTACCTTCACTGTTACTAAGCTACCGCAATTTTATTCGAGTTATTCTGACAGAAAGCATTTTCCTGTTGGGATCAGTAATTTTATCATACACATACAGATTTATAAGTTAATCTTTAATAAAAATACATGTTTTAGTTGTATTTCTATCTTAAGACATCAGTATTTTTACTGTTTCAGAACTCTAGTGGTACTTGATCGAACTGATGTCCAGCAAAAATCAAATCCTTCGCCGGAAGTCAAACTTGTACAAGTAAGAGGAAATATATATTTTAAATTTCTTATATCATTAAAGCAGGATCAAATACAACGTATATTAATATTTTAATTAAAAATGTATTTATTTGGAATTAAAAATCAGTAATGATACATAATAATAATAATTTCTTATCCGGTGCTTACAGATGCTCGTTTGACTAGTGTAAGCAACAGAGCCAGCGCTGTGAGCCTGCGCAAAGGAGTTCTCAAATCTGGCCGTCACCTGTATTGAAAAGGTAAGTGACTCGCTGTCATTAATCTTAACATCTTCATATAAATATCGTAAGCACGTGTCACAAAAATATGACGTATTAATAACGCGACATGTTGTCAGCAGCATGGTAGATTGTCACGTGAAATTACTCACGTGTTTCGCATAAATATGTTCCGAGATGTCAGCGTCTTCGGCTCCGGGGTCAGAATCTACCAGGCTGCTGTATCATTGCCCGATACATTTACTTTTCATTCCGACCTATTCGTTCGTTGTTCTCTTAATCTGTCCTCATCGTACGTTATTATAATCGTTGATATTTCATTGGTTTATGTCAAGTGTAGTGAGAAACTTTCACCAGATCGTAAGGTACCGCGTACCTTCATGGATTTTTCATTGTCGGCACTCGTCGTTGCATTGACAGAACATGGAATAACGCACAGAAAAGGTGTTAGTTTATGATCGTGTATAAATCTAGCGGTTGTTACGTGTTATTCATTTTTCGGATCAACAATGATTCCCGCGTTTTACCTGCGCGGTGCTCCACTTGGCAAGTAGACTTGTTTGTTTGTGCGTGCCGTATCATCTGTCATGGCGTGCCCGCTTGTGGCGGGTATCATATCGCTGACTTTTCTCGTTGTTGTTCTCGCTAGACACATGTCAGTTAGTGTTGTCACATGGGTTGTTTGAGAGGAATCGTTTGAATATTTTCTGAAATATACGTCGGAAAGAATATTATGATCAATCGATATTTCGTGTGGACATACTGTGCATTTATCGGGACGGGGTTGGTTAGAATAGTGGGAAGGGAAGGAATCAACGATGGCGGCGGCTGTATTGTGCCACGCGCCATGTCGATCTCTTGCTCGCGCACGTCCTTCGTTCGGTGCACCACGTTTGTCTGTAGATTTCTTTTTTTGTCTTCGTGAAAATGGCACACGACCTGTCGTGAGTGATCTTCGGTAGGGGCCCAACATGTTTGAAAAGGGAGTCCCACGTTGAATCTTATGTATGCCCTGAAAATTGATAGGTTCTCTTACCTCCGATTAAATAAAAAAAATGGACATAAGACATTTTTTAAATTAAACCATAATCTTTAAGCTGATATACAATTACATTTTTTTGTATTAAAAAACATGATTTTCTGATTCCCTTTTATCTTTTAACTGACAATATAGTATTTTTTTTATATATTTTCAATAATATAATTTTCTTCCACGTGAAATGGTAATGACGTAATAATAAAACTTTGATAATTTAGAAATATTCAAGTAAATGTAAACATATTTTAACATACGCGATACTCTATTTAACGTTTTGATGCATATGTTACGTGACATGTTTTATATCGGTTAGGATATAATTTTTAATAATCAATTTTAGTAACTATAGGAAGTAATAATTTGACAAGGTTATAATTCGAAACGTTCAACGTTTAGAAAATCTGGTCGGATATACAGTTAATTGTAGCAGTTTTTATACTTCTAAGCTAACGTATTTCAAAGGTAAAGAAACGTGTCTTGATATTTTTATTGTGACCAAAATACCGGAACCTGTTTTATCATAATGTAGGTCATCTCGATCAAATACTTGCGACATCGTTAAGCATCACCTTAACAAAATTAAAGTCTCTCAGGTTCGAGTAATTGTATTGTTAGGTGCAATCTTATTCGTTGTTTACTTATTGCGTGTCGAATCTAATACTATCTGTACGATAATTTATATAGAAATGTATATAATCTCGTGACATGCATTTACATGGAGGGATGGTACCTTCTATTTTTAAAACTGTGAGGCCACTGTAAAAGTGAGAACGAAAGTTGAACTACTAAGTTAGCGTGTCAGGGACACGTTGTTTGAATATCGTGCATATTGTTTGTCATTTTTATTCCTTTAGGAGTATCTAATATGAATTAATTCAAAATCATTTTTTTTTTTAATTAGTACTAATAATGTCAGTTTTTTATTATTGTAAATTTGGAATCACTGATATATTCATTCCAATTGTCATAAATACATAATTTATGATGTAATGAAAGATTATGATACATTTAATATTGATATTTAATTTACAAACATACGCAAAATGTTTTGAGTACCATTTAACATGCGTGCAGTGGGGGTCAGAGATCTGAGTCGTATCGGGATGAAGAGGCAACCGATCAACAAACCACGTGGCAACATCGCTATACCCTCCTCTTTTTCCCCTCCCCTCCTATCCTGTTGTCTGATGTCCCTTACATCGTCCCCCACTATAATCATCGACTGCAACGAGGCGAAAGCACATTTACATTTTTTTGCGTACAGTACGTTGCAACATTCTTGCTTTGTGGTTTGAACTACCGATGGCGCCACTCCCAGAACGAGTAAAAAATATGTCGTGCATTGAGCCTAAGTAAGAAAGATGTTAGTATGCAGGACTGAGATCACACGTCGCGAGGGTTTCATTATATTTATACTTACTTAATAACAAATTAAATTTATTGTATTTCTTAAATGGAACTTTTTTTTAATAAGTTCTACTTTACTAGTAAGATTTGATTTTAATCAAATGATTTTGTATCTTTTTTAATTAATATTTTAAATGAAAGGGAACTTATCCCGAGTAGATAATATGATGTCAGGGGTGGATGATGCTCGGTCAACGGTACTTCGATTGTAATCTTTGAAAACGTATTACACTTCTGAGTAAAATCATCCTTGAGAAAGACAAGGACGAATAAGTAGTATACAGAGCAAATTCGGCATATCGAAGGAAAACTGGTTTACTTCCACGCGTTGCACTTACTGTGTACTATGTCGATTTTATATGCACTAAAACGATATCGCTGAAATAAAACACATCTCCGTGTTGAATATTTTCATTGAATATTCTGTATAATATGTTTTATCGGGGCTGAAGATATTGATAATAAATTACAGAAATGAAAGGCACACAAAATAATCATATTTTGGGCTATTTTAATCTTGATCATATTAGGAGCGCATTGCACTTTGTTATGGTTTCACGCTTCCTATTTTTAGACCTATGTTTTGTCGACACGCCGTAGCTTTTTATTCCTCCGTCTACTTCTTTAAGATTGATATCAATTTCGTCTTTTTTTTTTGAATATCAGAATTCGCTTAAATATAATAGTTAATTATTGTTAAATTTATAAATTGTAATTGATGTAAACAATTGTTCAATCAATTACACTTGACACTTAAAAAGTTCATATCACGCGTGTACAAAGACGTAAATCATTAATATTGATCTTTTATTTATATACTTAATAATATTATAAATATGGTTACATTGTAATAATCATATAATTTATTTAATAATAATGAACGCATATAGTACAAGAGAACTAGTAACTTGCTGGAGAGATATTCCTTCGTACCGAATGCATCGTATAGATTATATCTTTTAATTACACTGATAAATTTGGTGCAGGTATTAAGCAACCGTGATATGTATCATAAGTGACAACGATATTTTGTGATTTTCTATATGTAGAAAGAAGCATTTGTAAAGTGTCGATTTCCTTTAGCACGTTGTTTTTCTTTGCAGTTTTATCGTGTAATATAAAGTGGGGATTTGTGAGATTATGGACGCCCCCTAGTAGCGTGCGTGCGTCACAGCGCGTAGCGTCTTGCACGTATACAGTGTCAAGTTGAAATCGCGGTGTTAGTTACAGAAAGTGGCAACGAATCGATGTAAACAAGTATACATAATAAAGATGGTGACGATCAGTGATTTTTTCGTCATGACATATTATCGCGATTAAACTTTTTAATATGATTTTTACATACTATACGGACAGAACGGAGCTAATTTCGACTACTGTCACGATCATCGAAACATGCTGTTTTCAGTGAAGGTACATTACTCCCAGGACGTGTTTTAAAACATACGGTTGACGAACATTTTATTTCTGTCGCTATATGGAATTCTTCTTTGTAGGTGCTTACTTACAATTGTAAACATAAAAATATAATAAATTCTGATAAAAACTATTGGAATGAATTTGGTTGGAATAAACTTTTATTGGTTTATTTATGAATTTCTTATCATGTGATATGATTTCTTTATGTAAGGTTTTTTGAGATTTTAATGTGGTACATAATCTTTATTTAAAAAATGTTATTTCATTGTTTTCTTCCTTTACAGAAGCAGTGTCAAAATAACGCGCAAAATGTTTAGTTTTCATAAGCCAAAGGTGTATCGATCTAGCACTGGATGCTGCATTTGTAAAGCAAAATCTAGCAGGTTGGTCATTTAGCAATTGTAGTAGATAGAAAATATTATTTTATGAATTAAATGTTTTATAACATAATTGTTTTATCCATGCAGCTCGAGATTTACAGACAGTAAAAAATATGAGGATGATTTTATAGAATGTTTCCAACTTGAAGAAAGAAGAACTGGAGAAATTTGTAATGCATGTGTACTTCTTGTAAAAAGATGGAAAAAATTGCCTGCAGGAAGTAATCGCAATTGGAGACATGTAAATAACTTTACTTGCATTAAAATTTTGTATGAATTAACTAAACAATAATTGTGAGTAAATACATATTTTATATTCTTCAGGTCGTTGATGCACGTGCAGGACCTGGTATCAAGTCGTTAACAAAATTTAAATCAAAAAATAAAAAGAAGATAAAAGACTTACCAGAAAAGTTTGAGAAGATTATGAAAAAGAAACACATGTATTTGAAAACAGATAGGGATAGAGAACAGAGTCCTGCAATGAGTGATGATTTAACAGGTTAGCGTATAATCTTTAAGTTAAAAATTGTAAAAATATTAAAACATTAATTTTTTTTTTTTTTTCATGTAGAGGACTATCTGCATGGAGATGGCAGTAAAGGTTCAAGTCGAGCTGGTAGTCCTGTAGGTAGTGATGATATTCCAGTCACTGAAAAACCTATGGATATGCAGGATGATACAGAATCTAAGGATGACTTAACTGTTAATGGTTTTATTGATTTAACATACTTTAAAAGGTTAGCTGTTTGTATGAGTTATTATAAGATCAATGATTTACAAGGCACACCTATTACTTCAGTATAAACATTATTTTACTTTTGTAGGGAGATTATTTGTTGTGGAACAATATTTAAAGGTCCATATGGAGAAGTTATAGTGGACCCATCATTAATAAAGCCTTGTATTGGTTGTATAGCAAGGCAACAACGACAACAACAAACAAATGCATTAGGTTGTAGTCCTGTGCATAGTTCTGCATCAGCCAGTCCTGTTCATAGTTCTGCATCTGCTAGTCCTGCCCATAGCGTAGAGTCTGGTACAGAGGCAACAGTCTCTAAACAAACAAGTAAGACGTTTAGTGACTCATCTTCAGATTCTGGCTACGATGAATCCTCCAACCAAGGAGTTGGCGAGAGTAAGATAACCAAAATCATTCAAAATACAAGTGCTACTGTAAAGCCAGCAGTTAAGATACAACCACTAAAAAGTGTTCAATTAAAAGCTATACCAGTATCGGAAGCTGTCAGGTTAAAAACGGATGTGCCAATTAAATTGGTACCTATTAAACAAATTGATCAACTGTCTTGTAAGCCATTGTCTTTAGTTTCTTCTGCTAATGTTACTTTAGGCAGTAGTACTTCACACTCCATTGTTACCGTCCCGACTAATCCGCTCGTCGATTTTGCCATGCACGCAGCCTCCTCCAGGCAATCAGTCTCTAATTAATGTCAGTCTCTCATAGAATTTTAATTTATTTTTTTCTTATGTAGTTAGATGTATAATGCGATGCAAAATTGTGTGTTATGTATGCTACTATTACCGTTCCAGATAAGAAAGGCTCTGGATAAGAGTGTTTAAGTTTTATCATATCGAGTACAGAGAGTTTATAATGTTATGAATGGTAAAAGAAATGAAATCTTGAAATTAGAATAACTGTTATAAGGTGTAAGTAGAGAGATGGTGCTCTGAGGGAAGGTTACATAGGATTCATGTCCTCAATCGTTGATTGTTGGAAGGAATATATATATAATTATATACGATATATTGTCTTTATGGACGTGAATTCTAAAAGCGTACTCCAATATCTGTTAGGTAATTTTAAAAAAAGATAAACGATGAAAGAGCACAGTTTTTCTACTGAATAACCGTTTTTAGCATATATAGAATACTTATAAACTGCCATGAACATCATAATTATTAACTCTCCACAGACAATTCCAACATGTGGACAGTTTCCAATTATTTTTTAAGTATAATAATTAGCTATGTACATCAAAATACTGTGATGACATTTTAATGTAACATGAGATATAAGATTATTATTCAACGAATGGCAGTTTATAGGATTTTCGTCCTAAACAGTAGTTAATGTACCTTTATGGTATAAAAAGATTTCTTATCCATAGCTTTTCGTTTTCTGGACTATTTACTATTGCAATTGTATATGTGAATATTTGTATAGAAGTTCCAAGATGCCAATCACTTTCTTCAAACATTTGGGTCCAAAAATTAAAAAGAAAAAAAAAATTCATTTAGGGTCATGATAGCTACATTGTACCAGATGCATTTGATATGATCTATGCGATGGTCCATGACGTTAAAATTAAGTAATTCAACTTAAGAGACGAATGTGTTCAGGTACTGTAAATCCTGGCCCCGTTAATAGCAATAATATGAAAAGTAATTTTACGATTAAAATAAATGAAGTCTGTTGAATAGCATCATATCACTATGATGATATATTTAGACAGTATTATTAGAGAGAGAAATTGAATGAGAATGTGGCAATCAGATTGGCAAACTGGACCAGCAAACTTTGTTATAATATTTCAGGGTGACTGCAGCATTAATGTAAAAACAGATAAATAGCGGTTTATTGACATACATATAACATAAGTGTAATTCTAAATAAGTGAAAACTGTTAGTTCCTAGTATTCAGAGATGGGCACATGACAGAACAAAAGCACACAAAAGTACCTGTTGGAAGCAGATTACTGTGATGATTGGATTATTCGCTTCATCTTTCTTTTCTGTCCACATATAATTTAACACGCACAAAAGATTGTCCAAATTTTAACTACATTATATACGTATTTATGTATTTGCAACAAGCCCAGGAGTGATCTACAACTTTTTAGGACCATATTCTACGAGATGCATTTCAAGTAACATTTAAAAAATAGTATCAATTCTGCATGTACCATTCAAATAATTTTAATGATAAAGCCAAAGAGGTGTGAAAGATACGCATTTATTTTATATATTAGGGTCAGACAATTTGGTCAATAATACAGATTTTTTTATTAAAATATAATATCTAACTGTGAAATTGAAATTTAAAAAGTTATGAGCGTGCAATACATTGTATTTTATATATAATAATATTGTGCATGATACAAAGTTTTTAATCTTAATTAGTGAAAATAGAGATTTTTGACGATAAATTTAATATAGATAATATACTGAACTTCAAGATTTTTTTACTTCTGGGATATTGGCAATTCTTCTAGTAAATTTTCACTCGCACAGGCATTTAATTTGAAATGCCATAATTGTTGCCCATCTGGCTTAAGCTCATTGACAATCGTTATGTAACAAGGAAACTATAACAGTTTTTCATACGGAATCAAACATCGAAATAACAATTTGTCTAAGGACAACGTTAACCACCTTGTCCTTCTACAAATTTCAATTGTATATTTCTTTGGACTAGGAGACTTCATGATCTCTTTACTGTGAATATTAATAACTACGTTTTTGTTGTATCTCACACGTTATGATTTATATATAATAATTAATATATGTCAAGGATAAAGGTTGGATCATAGTGTCATAACTTAGCATTATACCGTGTAAGGATTGCATTTCTTTTTTCTTTTTTTTTTTTCTTGAAACGTTGAGAATTTTTCAACTTGAAAGGCTCAAATTACAATTAAGATTTCTAGAGTATACTCGTTCAGCGCATAGCTAATATATACAATTTTTTAAACAACCTTTATAACTTTCTATGATCCTTCCTTAGATAAAAAAGAATATAAGAAATATTTGTTTAACTTATTTATTTTGTAAGTTTATTTACTTGCAATATATGCTATTCCTTTTCTACATAAATTTATATATATATATTTTTATACAAATTAATCTTTGCTTTTTATGAAATAAACTTTTCTGTAGCACTGCCAGAAAAGAAGGACACTGTTAGGAACATTTATGATTCCATGTCAATCTGCTGGTAATATTCAATGAATTATTTATTTTCAATTAGTTTATATATATATATGTACACGTATATATAAACTAACAAAAGTGTGTGAATATTAGTCTATTGAGTTTCTTTACATTTTAAGAAAGAAAAAAATTATAAATGGTGCCCACAGATTGATTAGGCACTGTATATGTATTGAGATAAGCTTACATAAGGAAATTTTGTAATGAATACAAAAGTAGTCTCAATATTCAAAGTAACATGATTGCGTGATACATAAGGAATACAAAACAATTTCGTGTGTTTTTAAATGAAGAGAGAAAAGAGGATAATAGATTAAAAACTTTATTAATGAAAGAAGGATATATATGTATATATATTGTACGTGCAGCTATCAAAAGTAACGTTACATAGGAAAATTGTAAACGGCTGCGAAGTAACATCAAATTATATTATATAAATATGGAGACATTATGTTAGAATTAAGAAGCGTATGTCGTTTATAGTATATACAACATATTAGAACGTCCTTTAGGAGAACGAAGTTGAATAAAAACGTAATTGCAATTCCCGTGCATATTGCTATCATGTAACTTGAATTTGATATTTTTTTGTAAGAAAAAAGAGAAGGTACAATACAATTGAGATACATTTCTCATCTACTGATGAACCTTGAAGAGATACAAATTTTAGATAAAGTACAATTTGTGAGATTTATTGAAATGTTTAGAACAAATTGAGACAGACAGAGAATGGTATACTTGAAAATGTATTCATCAGTCTTCCAAAAGACTTTTATTATGGGAAACTAAACACCAATTTAATCTTTCAAATATTCATTCTGATGTTTAAGTCTCAATCAAAATTATTGTAAACGTTTAACAGGCTGAATTGTGAGACTGAAAATTATTGATGAACATTCTTCTTTCATTTCAGTGAATCTTGCAAAACTTTTGTACGATTATTTTAAGCAAATGGAAGCATCACACAAGATTTTATCGATAGAAGGATTTAAGGAGGAAAGTTTTCATAAAAAGGAAGGAAAAATTTAAAGCGCCGGTGGTAGACATTGATGATTTTTTATGTAACAAAGTTTTATTACTTGTATATATATATATCACACACACACACACACATACACGTCAAAATCAATGACATACAATGCATCGTTTGAATATGTCAAAAGTGTTGAAAAAATATTGTTGTAAGGTACGCTGAATGTGGGTGCAAAGAAGATGGAAGATTTTTTGAAAAGACGCGTGAATTTGGCGAATCGTATCGGCGGTCGAATAGCATTTTCCCAATTTCATCATCACGAGATGTCCCTTGGTAATGAAAATTATTGACTGACTGAAAGAGAGAGAGAGAGAGATAGAAAAAGAGTTAAGAAAATGGTGCAAGTATTTTACTACAGTGACCTGGCAGATTCCGATATTTAAATATTTTGCGATGAAGAAAAGAGAATATTCTCTGCAAGCTTTTTGTTCTTTTTTAATAACCGAGAAAGAATTCAAACGATTCTTCGAATCCGTCTGACAAGAAATGTATAATTTTTGTTTTTTCTTTAACGATGATTCTGTAACATTTGAAACAGTTCATCGTTGCATTTAATATATAGTATGTATGCGAAATACTGGTGCGACAATTCAAACTCAGAGAAATACGCAGAATACTTTTATTCCTTTCTTTCTGTTTTATTTTTTGTATTTTGTTTTTTTAATTTAATAAGTTTCGTTGTACGATACCTGTATCACGTTAGATTCGTTTGAATTCATGTTAAAGTAAATTTAAAAAAAAAGAGACAGATTAAGAAAGGGAGTGGCACGATTTTGTAAAATGATACTACACGAATAGTGATTCATGTAAAATATGTAACACCTTACCTTGTAGATGAAATGAATTTAATTTTATAATTTAAAAATGACGAAAAATTGAAAGGAGTAATCCACATGATTATGGATCTCTTGTAACATACTACGAATTGTATTATTTCAAATTGTAAATGCTTATTAAACGGTCTTGATTGACTTAGGTAAGGTGTTAATTTTGTATGATGAATGATTTAACGAATTGCGATTTGTATCGGACAGTAAACAAAGGGAAAGATTTTTTACATCAATTAATTAAAGATATAAACGATTGTGAGACTGATTGATGTATTTAGCGGATAACTTTTGTTTACATACAACTATTAGAGATAGGCGAGGATATATTGTATCATTCGTGCATATACTAATGAAATTCTAACTTGATAATGATAAGGAACGATGACTGCCGCAACAAATATATCTCGTTATCGCAATGATTATATATTATATATAAATATCATATGAAATATTTGTATATACATATTGTATGTTAAATTTAGGCTTAACACACAGCAATTCCAATCATTTGTACAATGATCGTGAAAACTATTATGTTGATCAATTGCCCCATGGCTCGTTTTTCATTTGAACGAATCGCAATTAACGGGGCAATAGATTTTACTATTTGAAAGGAACAAATATACCACTTTTCTTCGCTATGTACAACTTTGTAATAAAACAGTTTACTCATAAGCAATCTGTCAGTCACGATAAAATTCGTACGATCAACGCGAGATAATCATCAACCCTTTCGTTACTGAAAGATGACCATAGTCACCTGTTATTTAGTGCTTAGTATCCACTAAGGATGACTATAGTCATTTTTCTATGAAAAAAGTAATTAAATACGGTAGAATGGAACGATTAAAGTAGGATAAAATTAATAGATTAGAATTTGTACTGATATAAGTCACGCAATTCTACGTGATAAGTCAAAAGAATTTGAATCAAGTTCTTTGATGTAGCGAAGGGGTTCACACGTTGACTGCCACGGACGGGGTCACCGGTGTCTAATACCACGGACTTAATTCGAGTACTGTTTAACTTAATGTAGCAAATGGAAAGTTTAAATTCTAAAATTAAGTTATTGTATCCTTAACACCTTAATACCTGTTTGGCTGGTAAGGTGTTAATGATTCTTATAATAATATGTCGTACTACATATGGTTATTTTCATAGTGGCAGTCAGCGTGTTAACATTATCCATCAGATCGCTTTTCCTTTCTTTTTCTATAGGAAATTGTACATTAAACATAGTATCCTAAAAAGATTGTATAATTTAAAAAATGTTTAATTCTCTATGCTAAAAAAAAAAAATGCCAGTTCCTTTTTATTTATTTTAGCATAGAGAATTTATAGTTTTCAGATTATAACTTTCTTGAGACTCATCGTATATTTTCTTTTCCTTCTTTTTATAAATGCACATATGAAATACGAATTATACAAAATATAAAAAAAAAAAATCGACAAATCAACACCAATCGTGAATTAGATTTTGTACTGTATATTATAGAGAAGGAAGAAAAAAGAATATGTACATCTAATATATTATATATATATATATACACACACACATACACGTATAAAAAAAGTCTGTGAGATACCAAATTTTGATAGATAAATAACGTAAACCGTATATATGTATACATAGACATATTTAAGGGGATGCGCGCAATGTCTTTTTTAGAAAATGTATTTCTGATCTTTTATGTTTTTTTTTTTCTGCTTTATACGGATTTACGAGAAACGAATCTACTATTATTAATTATTATTACGTCTTTGCTGTTCTGCTGTGATGATTAGTCAGTACGACGTATTTAAACTGTTTTTAAGAAAAAGGCTTCATCAAGTTCGCTCGAAGCTGAAGAGAATTCGCTATTGCGGGGATTCTCAAAGTTAATTTAACGAGTAATCAAGTAGGATGTATATTATTTAATTAGAGGTCGCGAAAGATAGCGGGAGGATTATTTAAAAAACATTGCGTCGAAGCATTTTGCATTTGTATTTTGGACACGTTTTATTGTCGTTAATCTTTTAAGACTAAATTGAACAGCTCTTTTTTTTCCTTCAATCTTCCAATATGGAAACTTCTTTTTTTCTTATAGATAATAAGTGTGTAAAATTAAACGATGTTCGTGGTTGAAGAAAAAATTATAAAAGTGCAATTAAAACACTGTGGTAAAAATGTATTTCCTTAAGATCGAGACGTGAACAATTGAATAGTGAACGAAAGTGCAAAATGCTTAACTCGAAATATTAGATATAAATCCATACTGAAAGCTTTTTTTGTAGACATTATTTGTATTCAAGACTTACTTAATCTTAATAAAGAAAAAAAAACAGAAGAAACCGTGAAAACTTATAATTAAACAAAAAGCAAAATTTGAATAATTGAAAAAATTATTCTGGTTAGGAAAACGGTAACAGGTAGTTTGAGAAACCCTGCTCTACCGAATAAAGTTTTTATAATATATTTTCCTTTGAGTCATTAATTTTATATTATTCATACAGATCAGACGGCAATGGACGTCTTCGTAACGTGTAAGTCTTCAGAAAGTGGAATCAAAGCCAAACGCGATTTTATAATAAAACGATGAGATACAATATACATACACGCAATAATTAAGTACACTGGCGTAACATTGTCAAATGGCCAAACTTTCACTCAATATATTTCTTTTCCTGATACAGTAACTATAAGTGAACGCAATAAGATCTATACGTACCAATAGCGATATAAGAAGCACATGTTACTATTATTACTTTAAAAACAATAGCAATGTTTTATAATTGATATCTTTACGCATATATACATATAAGTACAATTGTACATAGAGATAATGGAAATTCTTTTTTACATTATATTTACGATCTGGTACATATACATATATATATATATTTACACGTATTTTACAAAATAATGCTTGTGTACATTGCATACTGTATGAACATTTTTATCTATTGCGCGGGAAACGAACCGCAAGAAGTATTATGTACTTATTCCAATTGTTAAAAATATTGATTAAAATATTGTATATAAAGTTGGTATAAATTCTCTTGAATCATTGTATAGAATAAGATTTACATATGGTTCACGAGTGAATTTTAAGTAATTTTAATATTTCTACAAAGTTTCTTTAGGTTTATGAATATTTTGAATAATTTAAAGCTTTCTTTGTTTTTTTATTAAACATATATTTGTTTTCCGTCATTATGAACGCTCGAAATGTAATGTATTATTTTAAGTATTTAATATATGTATATTACTACAATTGTATTAATGTACAATGTCTGTTTTAATATTCAGTTGATCTGGTAAAAACATGAATTGCCCGTGTTTAAAGGTAAGTACCATAAGAAATATTTTATAATGTTCAGAAAATTAACATTACGAAGTAATGAAATACTTTAGATTCTGTTTGGACTATCTTATTAATTGAACTTTTTTTTACAGGAGTATTAATTACGGGAAAGTGTCATGTTTAATGTCGTTCACGTGCTTCCCACACGTAAATGTCACGTGCCGACGGCGTGAGAATAGTCGTCATATTTTTATTCCGCACACCGAAGTGCACAAATTTACCTTCGGCGCGGCGCCTGTTCATTTTTATCTATCTCTTTGTGTGGTTGTTACTTTTTTAGAGGTAAATCTCTTTTATACATTTTCTAAAGTACTTTTAATCTTAATAAAAACATTTTATAAGATATTCAAGATTGTTATAAACGAATTTTTTGTTATAAATCATTATACTCCAAACCGAGCGTTAACACTGTTAATCCTGTACATTTTATTCGATTGAATTAACCCTAATGAAAATAGATAATGTTCGTTTTAAAATCTGGTATATAGGATAAAAAATTTAAGTTATATTCGAAATAAACAGGTAATTATAAAAGCTAATATAAAACCAATTATTACAGACGGGAAAATTTGAACTTTCATCGTTATCTTCTGGCGGCGCTGGAGATGTTGAAAAGCTCTTGTTTGTGAAGTCGATTGGTAGTGCTGTTCGTGACGCGTAACGTGGGTAATTTTTTGTTCGTATATGTACATACCGTTCAACAAGATCAATGGGTTAGATATTGGCTATTTGTTTTTGTAGACAAGATTCAATGATGATCAAGTTCATTCGACCACGGTTGATAACGTTCGATGTTACCGGTACGTTACTCATGACAAAGTTAGAAGAACATTACGTCGACATTGGATCTCAACATGGACTGTCAGTCGATGCTGGTAAATTGGCGCGTAGCTTCAAAAACAGCTTTCACAAGCTCAGCGTTGAACATCCTATTTACGGGAAACATACAGGCATTGGATGGGAAAATTGGTGGCGGAAAATAGTTCATCATGTCTTCAAGGATCAGCATAGTTACGTTTCAGATGCAACTTTAGATAAGGTGAAAAAAAGCAAAATTTTAAAAATATCTTTTTCTATTCTATGCAATTTAAATGAGCTGTTTAATGTAAATAAGATTAATAGGATAGGTTAATTACGGGGTAAACTTTATCTGAGAGGCCCAAAAATTATGGCCTTTTTTTTTTATCTTCTTGAAGTATTTAACGAGTAGAATCTAAAAATCCTAGTTTTAAGGCGCGGAATCCATCGGTTCAGAAGTTATATGTGTGTAAAAATGAGCGTTTTTAGCGTATTTGACAGATTATTCCCCGCATCCAATCCTTTGTCGACCGCCAGTTGGATTCTATTCGTTGGGTGTGAGTACCATCAGTTCCTATCAAATCCGATGGAATATTGTTTATAAAGAAAAAAACTAACCTTAGGTATACCGGGTTTAGGCCGCCACTTATGTATACTTGATGTCACGAGAGTCCATAACTGCGAAAAGACCAGTTTTCGTTCTTTTCTGCGCATTGTCGCTCTGATTGGTGATACTTCCAGAGGAAGTGGAAAGCGATTGGCGGATCGCTTTCCCCCACCATCGCTGCGTTCCCCCACCATCTTCTAACCTGCGCGCTTAGTTATGGACTCTCGTGAGATCGAGTATACATACATAATTCTGTTTTACCGACGGCGACTCCACTCATTGGACGACAATAGGCTGCAAGTCAATATGGCGTCGAAGTAACATGTCAAATACGCTAAAAACGCTCAGTTTTACACACGCATAACTTCTGAACCGATGGATTCCGCGCCTTAAAACTAGGATTTTTAGATTCTACTCGTTAAATACTTCAAGAAGATAAAAAAAAGGCCATAATTTTGGGCCCCTGAAAAAAAGTTCAGCCTATACCTATATACTATCGATGACCCTATTTATCATTATGACCCATAGGTTGCTAACAGTTTGATAAGGTGTTACGGTACGAGTATGTGTTGGCACAAGTATCCAGGCACGATTGAATTACTGGAGTATCTTCGCAAAAAGGGCCTGATCATAGGGGTGATATCGAATTTCGATGAGAGACTGGAAGCGATACTCGAAGACACGAGAATACGTTTTTATTTCTCCTTCGTTTTAACGTCTTATGATTTTGGCATGGAGAAACCGCACACCTCGATATTCGATGAAGCGCTTAGGTTAACAAAAGAACGACATAGTATCGACGTTGCTCCCCAGGAGGCGATACATATCGGCGATTCTGTCAGTAACGACTACAATGGCGCGAAAAACGCTAATTGGAATGCGTTACTCATTAAACGCGATGACGATGTTACTGGCGATAAAGAAATTCCTGCAGAGAATATATTTAGAAATCTTGAAGATTTGAGACTATACTTTTCTACGCTTCTTAATTCGGACGCGAAGCGTATATAATTTATCGCCACGAATCAAAACATAGTATTTGAAACATAATAACCACGTACGATTTTTAACGAGAAATACACTTATTAATAGAGAATAGATTTTATTACATAAATAAATACTAATTTTATTTGTCGCTGTTAAAAACAGATGATAAATATATATAAAAATTCAGACTGTGATATTAATCATTGTTAGGTTTACTAAAATTAGAGAATACTTATACGGAAGAATTAATGCTGAATATTTTTTATTTCTGGACATGATTATCAAATAATAATTATAATAATTATAAATATTAATTCAAATAATGGAGGTATATGTAAGCGACTATATCAATATATTTTTATATAAATGTAATTTTTAGTAATTTTACAATTGCAATCAAGTTATAGTAGTAATAGTTAAACTAATGAAAGAAGCGTGAACGCGTGGGTGAACTTATGATATCGCTTCACATTTCCTGGTAAAGAGATAACTAAGATCCCAACGGTTACCACGTGACAAACAGTGAATCGAGAACACCATGAAATTTTCTGAGAAAAAAAAAGTCTCTCATTGCACATCGATCTTATTACCAATTTAATACTGCTTTTTTAATTTTTACCTTTAATATATTCATTGTTTGTACACGCTACTTATCTCATATTTTTATAATCTAATTTTTAACAAAATATATTCTCGTATCTTTTATTTAGCAGAGAATACAATCATAATACATTACAATAAATAAAAATACAATTTGAAATAAACTAATACACTATAAGCGTTCGTAGTAGTAGGAAAAAGATGTCATCGTTTCCCGAGTAATCTTCTTACTTCCGTTCCAACGAGATATGAAATGTTATTCAGAAGCGTTAACGAAAGTTTTCTATAATTTTCAAAGCAGAATTTCATTTTTATACTTATGCAAATGAAAAACATTCATAGTACTAGATTGCCGGATAAATAGATCTGTTTAAGTTTTTCTATATACATATATATAGCAATAAAATCGTAAATGAGTCAAATTGACTCGCTTCGGCAATTTAGTGTTAATCCATTAATTCTCAAAGATTGAAAATATATTATTTTCAGCCGTTCGTTGGGTCCGGTAATAAATGTGGCAAAATAAATATGTAAGTATTTACTTATGATGTTCAAATGATTTAATAATTTATTATAAGTGTACTGCTATTAATAATAATGTATGTCATGTAATCCTAACAATTCCCCATTTCTCTTGGTTTGTTCTTGGCCTGCACTTTCTTTCTACTACGAGTGGCGGGCGTATTACCACCACAAATGCTTGAACATTGGCGTACTCGACTTCCCCACAGCCTCACTCTCACGACTCCTCCACCTCCACTCCTTCAGTTTCTCAGTGAGCTGTCGTATGGAGAGTGTCTTTCTTCACGGTTTGCTAGTCTTCCGTTGGTCGAAGAGGTTAGAATAATTTGTTTCTCAATTTTAAAAACCGGCGATACTCGTGTGATAAACCTGTGAATGATTCGCGATCCGTTTGTGTTCCATGCAACTGTGAATCCCATTGTTCCATTTACGAAACACGCGAGATCGTTCTTTTTTTCTTTCTGCAAACTTACGCTTCTGATTTTTATTTTAATTGTGAATTTAAAACTTAACGTTCAGCTTTTTTGTTTAAATTGCGATTCGTGATTTGTGCGTCATGTGATCCTACGAGATTCGATGTAGGCGGCAAGAAATAGATGTTAAAAACAAACGTGGTGTTTGAAATGTTATATACACAAGCGTTCAAGTATCTTTATCTGAACGCATTCCTGAAATAAGGATAAAAAAATCGTATTTTAAACAAAATTTATTGAATTTGCTGACAGATTTATCGCTTCATTTAAAAATGTTGAATATAATTTTAATTATGATTTTTCTTTGTTATACATAATTCTTCAGAAATTTAATTTTTTAAAAAATAACGTCAATTCGTTTAATTCAGTGCAGTGACTAATGTTTAAATTAATGAACATTAGGCAGATAAGGCGGGAACCATTTGCGGAATGCAGTCTCAGCAATAAAAAGTAAAAACTGTTGTCGAGGGATCTCGTTGCCGATGGACCCGATCGAGAATCAGTTCTCACCCTAACCTTTAAAGAAATTCGGAAAAAGTGAAAGTTTTTCATTTGGCGAATTTACGCGTGAAATTACAAGAAAGAGGACTTATCTAATAAAATTCAAACATGACAAGAGGAAAACACAAGAAGATATTGATATTAGCGGTGATCTGCTTGATAGCAGTATTTGCGGAACCCGAACCCTCCGATGATCTCCCGGATCGATTCGAAAAGAAATCACGAGACGAAGACAAATGCTATGATGACAATGGAAGGCCACGGGTTTGTACTAAATTTTTTTAATAATACGTTTATCTATTAGTTATTAAATTAATTGCAAATAATTTAAAATAAGCAATAATATCTTTCACATTAGGATGTGTGCCTCTATCACGTCATGAGATAATACGAATCTTCAATGTACGATCTGCACAGTATGCACTATATTTAATTCCTAAACAGTTTAGTCATAATTAAGAAATACAAATTAACGATCCAGTTTGAAAATATAAATATGTTCTGTTTATTCTTAGTCATTAAAATTCGTTTTCTTTTTTTGTGTGTGTAGGATATTACTACATTAGGTTATCAACGTAAAGTTCGAAGTTACAGTAACTTTCGACGATAGCTAGGGAAAGATAAAGCTAGACGATACAGTAAGCGTAGAAGAATTCTGAAAACGTAAAAAATTGTTCAGCTTTCGAATTTATTAAAAAAATCACTGATAGTTGTATATAATTTTATTTTTAAAAAAATTACGTTCGTGTTTTTGTACGTCCCGTATAATAAATATACCGGAAGTAAAATTTCTTGCGTGGGTGGAACAGTTCTATTGTGAAAGGTTCTCAGAAGTTACAGAAAATTTCGAATGGAATATTCTAGGAATTACCTGGGAAGGAAACTACCTGCGATTATTTAAGGTTTAGGTGATCCTGAACACCTTTTAGTACGGATACTTGGCAGAAGTATTTTAAACTTACCGAGCATTTTAAAATCAGTGTATAATCTTCTAAATCTACTAACTTAAAAAAAGAACAAAAGCAATGTAAAGATTACGAAATTCTATTTATTAAAAATTTATATTTACACGTATCATAAGAACGGGTATCAATGAATTTGAATTCCAAGTTACATAATACTCCGTCCGAAACAGAACGACTTTTTAATTGTAGTAACGCAGATTTTTGTTTAAATAAAGAAAAAATATTTTTGAACGCGTTTGTTGTAGAGGTGTATACCACCTTTCGAGAATGCAGCTTTCGATGTTCTTATGGAAGCAACGAACACGTGCGGTCAGGATCGTCCAACCGAATTTTGCAAACAAACCGGCGTTCAAAATAAATCATGCGAGATATGTCGGTATGAAGATCATTCAGCCAGGTATCTTACCGATCGTGATAATAACGACAATTCGACCTGGTGGCAGTCGGAAACAATGTTCGAGGGTATCGAATACCCGAATCAAGTTAATCTTACGCTTCACTTAGGTATGATATAACAAACGTTGAATTATATTTATACATAATTATTCATCTAACATACATGATGCGGTATTGATAATTTCGCGAATTTTGTGCCGTTTAATTCAGAATGAATGTACAGTTAATTGAGATCGTTCCTCACAGACGGATAAAATTGACGAATCTTATAGCGTAGATAAAAGAAGGAGTTCATTCATCGGTATCCGCGATGAACTCTTAACACGTCCTCAATGTTTGTCGCCCTCTTTCTCCCGCCTCCTCAGCTCTTCTTTTCCCATTCTACACCCTTATCTATCAGGATGCGTATGTGATGAGATAATTCTCGGAACATGGACGATAAAGTAACATAGACGAGTAATGCTTTGAAAAATTGATTTACGTTACCGTTATTACAAATATTATAACCTTTTTTCATCGTGAAATAATTTCGTTACTACATCGCGTTCATGTAAACGGATTTGAACGGTGACTTTAAGAATTTTAAAAACGGAAAGAACATACACGTAAAATCTCTGTCTGTGCGCCACATGTTCGTTTACAAAAGAATCAGCCACTTGCACCCCGCTTGCTTTACAGTGTGGAGAACTGCAATGGCGTAGAATTCGTTTATTTCTTAAATAGCTTTCACAAACTGGGCCGGCCCTGAGATTTCGGGGGTCCGAGGCGAACTCCGAAAAAGGGCCCCTTCGCATAAAAAAAGTACCTGAAATAAAATTTATAAAATTTTGTATAACCAATTTAGATTCGCATTTCCATCGATTACTATTCAAGTAAACACTCTTCTTGCATTCTTAGACGTAAAATCGTCTCATGGGGGCCCTAAACCTTGGGGGGCCCCAGGCGACCGCCTAGTTAACCTAGGCCCAGGGCCGGCTCTGTTCACAAGAGAAATACTTTCGTTTATCGTTACATTGAAACGTAGTAAATTTAATTTACATCACCCTTATTTTATTTAACTATTCTTTTAAATGATTGTAGGCAAGACGTTCGATATAACTTACGTTAGAGTGCTGTTCGAATCACCGCGTCCGGAAAGTTGGGGCATCTACAAGAGGAAAAATGATAAATCACCATGGGAACCTTATCAATTCTATTCCGCGACTTGTAGAGATACTTACGATTTACCGGATTCGAAAGAAACGGTACAAGGTGACGATACCAGAGTGCTATGTACTTCGGACTATTCGGACATATCGCCTTTGACAAAGGGCACCGTCGCATTCTCTACTCTGGAAGGTAGACCCTCGGCGTACTACTTTGAAACAAATCCAGCTCTGCAGGTATAATTTTCACCGTAATCGGGTAAAGGGAAATGAACACATTATTATTTGTGCGTTACATTTGTGTATTAATTCAAGGAATGGGTACAAGCAACAGGTTTAAGGATTACACTGGACAGATTAAATACATTCGGCGATGAAGTTTTTGGCGATGACCATGTATTAAAATCCTACTACTATGCGAT